GTGCAAAGGTCATCATCCAGATTACTAACTGGGGGTCGGGACCCCTGGGGGGGGGGCGCCAGGGAGTATCAGATGGGTCACCAAAGATCATCAGAAAATACAGTATCTATTAGTCATGGAGATACAGCCCTATCTCCCCAAGTGGTCTTGGGGAGATAGGGCTGTATATAAATAAAGTTTTTTTATTATATTCTGCACCCTAAATGGCAGGGAATGTGGTTTTAAATAACAATACTTGTGTATACATGTGCAAAATAAAAGTTCATCTAAAACTTAATATTATTGCTGCTCTATCCATCCCAGCAAAGTGGGATATAAAATGTATAATAAATGAAAGAAATAGAAATGGCAGGAGGCTGTAATTAAATGTGAATGATAAAGAAACATACTAGAAGAGTTTACTTGGTGGAATATAAAATAAACTTTCCTATAGCATAACTTACAATTCTCAAAGGGTCTCACAGCTCAAGTCAAGTGTGTGTAAAATAAAACTGATTCTCGCGTCAAAATAACTATCCCTGAAGGGCCAGGACTGGTATACCATCAAAAGAAATTCTCCAGCTATCTGCTGTACAGTATCACAGGGAATATTTTACTCGTAATACTGTTGATAACAGTAATGAATAATAATAATAATAAATTACAATGGTTTGCCCGAGGCATTTGAGTCTCCTTGACAGCTAGTAAGAAGGCTCATTTAAGGGGAAGGAAACGTGATCTGGCCTGATGAAAAGACAGCATGGAAGCAAAACTGCATTTGCCGTCGCTCAGCAACGCCGCATGGAAAGCCGCCTTCCCGAGATTGCTTTAACTCGATTTGACAGGACGACGATAATGACTGCGAGATTAATATAAAAGGTATAGATTATTCCAGAGTGACACGCAGACCTGTCAAAACGGGGGTGTTGTTGAAAGAGGGCACCTTTTAAAAAAAAACCCTGACAATGGGTGGTGGGCTCGTTATTACTTGTACTTGTGATCCTGTGAAAAATCACAAAAACCCTACATGTGTCTACCTTTGGGTTTTCTGGCATATTGCTGATGTTTCGTATTATTCAACCTGCTGTGATTTCCTTGTCACTTTTTCTCTTTTTGCTGCAGAACTACTGAAATAAAAATACTCTGCTTAATATACAATGTCAAATTATTAATAATGATGACAATAACATTATGTAATAAAATTTGAAAAATGTTCTGGTTTCAAAGTGTTATTTCCTGTTTAATTGTGTGGTACTTACTTTGAAACAAGTTGGAATACTCCGGAACTTTGTTTTTGTGGCTGCCACAAACTATGTTGAACCAGCTGAGGATCTATGACAGTGTTTCTCAACCTGGGAGTCAGGACCCTGGGGGTGTCAGAGGCATCATCAAAGACCATCAGAAAGCACAGTGTTTTCAGTTGGTCATGAGGGTTCTGTGTGGGAAGTTTGGTCCAATTCTATCGTTTCAGAATACTCTCTGATTGTAGGTGTACTATAAATCCCAGCAACTACAACTCCCAAATGTCAAGGTCTATTTTGCCCAAACTCCACCAGTATTCACATTTGGGCATATTTGAGTGTTCGTGCCAAAATTGGCCCAGATCCATTTTTGTTTGAGTCCACAGTGCTCTCTGGATGTAGGTGAACTACAATTCCAAAACTCAAGGTCAATGCCCACCAAACCCTTCCAGTATTTTCTGTTGGTCATGGGAGTTCTGTGTGTCACGTTTGGTTCAATTCTATTGTTGGTGGAGTTCAGAATGCTCTTTGATTGTAGGTGAACTATAAATCCCAGCAACTACAACTCCCAAATGACAAAATCAATCCCCCCCTCCAACCCCACCAGTATTCAAATGTGGGCGTATCAGGTATTTGTGCCAAATTTGGTCCAGTGAATGAAAATACATCCTGCATATCAGATATTTACGTTGATTCATAACAGGAGCAAAACTACAGTTCTGAAGTAGCAACAAAAATAATTTTATGGTTGGGGGTCACCACAACATGAGAAACTGTATTAAGGGGTCACGCTATCAAGAAGTTTGAGGAACACTGTGCTAGTGGGTTTATAAAAGTTTCAGGACTCAGCTTCTTGGCACACGTTAACTCTGCTGGTGCTGTAGTTATCTTACATTTGTTGCCTCTCTCTCTTAGGAAGCCTATCTATACTGCCCTCTTGTGGTTGCCTCTGAGTGCTGCATGCATATATACATAATTACTTGTTTTGGGGTTCTTAACCCCCAATGGGGTGGGTGTTTGTAACTGAAACCTGGCCAAGATTTTAAGTTGGATAATGAAGGATACGTGTGCCAAGCTAGGTCAGGATCCATGAAGCCATGTAGGGGCCTTGATGGAACAAACATACATCCATATAGGTGGGTTGTTGTGTGTTTTCTGGGCTGCATGGCCATGTTCCAGAAGCATTCCCTCCTGATGTTTCACCTGTATCTATGGCAGGCATCCTCAGAGGTTGTCTGTTGGAAACTAGAAAATAGGGTTTATACATCTGTGGAATATCCAGCCTGGGAAAAAGTACTCTTGTCTGTTGGAGGTCGGTGTGAATGTTGCAATTGGCCACCTTGATTAGTATTCAATGACCTGCCAGTTTCAGGTGTGTCTTACTGCCTGGGGGAATCCTTTGTCAAGGGGTGACTAGTTGTCCCTGATTGTTTCTTGTGTGGTGTTCCCGTTTTTCCCACGGACGGCGCCACTATATACCACCCTTCTACACTCACTGCACATGCGCCAACTGACTGGTTCCATTGCCTGCTGACTGGTGGGCAATTGCAGCATTCACACCTGCATCAAACAGACAAGAGTTATTTCTCCCACAAATATATAAATCCCACATGTCTAGTTTCCAATAGACCACATAACCTCTGAAGATGCCTGCCATAGATGTGGTCGAAAAGTCAGGAGATAATGCTACTGGAACATGGCCATACAGCCCTGAAAACTCACAGCAACCTAGTGATCCCAGCCATGAAAGCTTTCGACAACATCTATATAAATAAAAATATAATGTTCGTTTGTGGGATTAACATAACTCAAAAACCACTGGACGAATTGACACCAAATTTGGACACAATACACCTATCAGGCCAACGAGTGACCATCACTCATAAAAATACTGAAAAACACAGCAGAAGAGACTTAAAAAGCCAAAAATAAAAAAATACATTACAACGCATGAGCAAAACCACTTATATATATGCAAACACGCATATATATACATACACATATACACACACAAAACATATACACAGACTGGGCGACAGCAACGCGTGGCAGGGGATAGCTAGTCATTCATAAAAACAATGAAAACCACACACACATATATGCAAACAGACACACACATATATATACATACACATATACACAAATATATATACACACAGAAAAGACATATACACAGATTGGGCTACAGCAACACGTGGCAGGGGACGGCTAGTCATTCATAAAAACACTGAAAAACCACACACATATATATGCAAACACACACACACATATATATATACACACACACATACACATATACACAAATATATACACACGCATATACACACACAAAACACATATGCACAGACTGGGCCACAGCAACGCGTGGCAGGAGACGGCTAGTCATTCATAAAAACACTGAAAAACACAGTGGATGAGACTTAAAAAGCTAAAAAATAAAAATACATTACAACGCAAGTGCAAAATCACATATTTATTTGTTGTGTCAGGACAACCAGTCAATTATATTACATTTCTAACAGAACAAAGCAAACAAACAGACAAAATACAAAATGTGTGAGTTTGGTAGTTGATTAAATGTCCTTTGACCAGTCTCTGTCCCCTTGGAGTGCCTCTGGTGTTGCCGCAAGGAGGTCCTCCCTTGTGCATCATGTGGCTGGGCTCAGGGTGCATTGCAGCAAGTGGTCAGTGGTTTGCTCCTCTCCACACTCGTACGTCATGGACTCCACTTTGTGGCTCCATTTCTTGAGGTTGGCTCTGCATCTCGTGGTGCCAGAGCGCAGTCTGTTCAGCACCTTCCAAGTCGCCCAGTCTTCTGTGTGCCCAGGGGGGAGTCTCTCATTTGGTATCAGCCATTGGTTGAGGTTCTGGGTTTGAGTCTGCCACTTTTGGACTCTCGCTTGCTGAGGTGTTCCAGCAAGTGTCTCTGTAGATCTTAGAAAACTATTTCTAGATTTAAGTCGTTGACGTGCTGGCTGATACCCAAATAGGGGATGAGCTTGAGATGTCTCTGCCTTGGTCCTTTCACTATTGGCTGCTACTTCCCGGCGGATGTCAGGATGCAAAACCACATATACACACACAAACACACATATGCACACACTGGGCCACAGCAACGTGTGGCAGGAGATGGCTAGTTAAACAAATATTTTCAGATAGATAAATGCAAAACCACGCAATTCTAAGATGCACTTCATTTTTATATGAGGGAAAACTGGCATATTAGAACTGGAGAAATCCATTAATTATGGCATACACTTTTTGAACTGGGGTGCATCCACATTGTAGAATTAATTCAGTTTGACACCACTTTTAACTGCCATGACTCTGTGCCAAGGGACCCTTTGCTGGAGCAGCATCACTCCCTGCAGAGAAAGGTAAAAGCCCTTGTCAAACTATAACTCCCAGGATTCCACAGCATTCAGCCATGGCAGCCCAAGTAGTATCAAACTGTGTTAATTCTACAGTGTAGACGCACCCTTTGTTTTCTGGACTGATTGATACAATTTTCAAAATATTTAATAAATGCATAATTGAATGCAAATATTTACTTCACCATTGCAATTCCTTATCCTATAGTTCCTCGAAGGCGACTGCATTGAATTTTGCTACTTTTAACCTGTTTTTTGACTACAGAGTGCAGCTTTGCCCTACTAGCAGCAGTCAAGCACCAGTGCGCATGCGCACCAGGGGATCCGAAGGAGGAACCTCCTTTCGCCGCTTTCTTTCGTCACTCGTCTCCCTTTCCAGTCATTTAGAGCGGACGCATGCGCAGTGAGTGTAAAAGGGCGGTGTTTAGTGGCGCCGCCCGCGGGAGAATTTGAACGGTCCCGCGAGAAAGCGCCAAATTGGAGAGATGGATTCTTCGTTACCAGTTTGAAACCGAGAATTTTAGGGTAAGGGCGGGCGTGTTTTTGTGTATACTCTCTTTGAAAAGGGATAAGCCATATACATATATTCAATTGTTGGCAGGCAAGTTAGATATTTCCAGGAAGGGGGTTTGGGAGCCGAATCCGGTGCTTGCTAGGAAGCTTTTTTAGGTTTGTAAACAGACTCTCCTTCCATTTCCCCCCTTTGTTTTCAACGAATTCCAATTGCTCAGAGGGTGCATCCTCACTGTAGAATTATTGCAGTTCTATACCACTTTCACTGCTATGGAATTATGGGAGTTGTTGTTTTGCAAGGTCTGTAGTCCCCCCTGCTAAAGAGAGCTGGTGCCTTGCCAAACTACAAATCCCAGCATTGAGCCACAGCAGTGTAGATGCCCCATAGCATCTACACTGTAGAAATATTGCAGTTCTATACCACTTTCACTGCTATGGAATTATGGGAGTTGTTGTTTTGCCAGGTTTGTATTCTCCCCTGCTAAAGAGAGCTGGTGCCTTGCCCACTTTCACTGCTATGGAATTATGGGAGTTGTTGTTTTGCAAGGTCTGTAGTCCCCCCTGCTAAAGAGTGTTGGTGCCTTGCCAAACTACAAATCCCAGCATTGAGCCACAGCAGTGTAGATGCCCCCTAGCATCTACACTGTAGAATTAATGCAGTTCTATACCACTTTCACTGCTATGGAATTAAGGGAGTTGTCGTTTTGCAAGGTCTATATTCTTCTCTGCCATAGAATGTTGGGGCCCCGCCAAACTACAAATCCCAGCATTGAGCCACAGCAGTGTGGATGCCCCCTAGCATCTACACTGTAGAATTAATGCAGTTCTATACCACTTTCACTGCTATGGAATTATGGGAGTTGTTTTGCAAGGTCTGTAGTCTCCCCTGCTAAAGAGTGTTGGTGCCCCGCCAAACTACAAATCCCAGCATTGAGCCCCCCTAGCATCTACACTGTAGAATTAATGCAGTTCTATATCACTTTCACTGCTATGGAATTATGGGAGTTGTCGTTTTGCAAGGTCTGGAGTCTCCCCTGCTAAAAAGTGTTGGTGCCTCGCCAAACTACAAATCCCGGCATTGAGCCACAGCAGTGTAGATGCCCCCTAGCATCTACACTGTAGAATTAATGCAGTTCTATACCACTTTCACTGCTATGGAATTATGGGAGTTGTTGTTTTGCAAGGTCTGTAGTCCCCCCTGCTAAAGAGTGTTGGTGCCTTGCCAAACTACAAATCCCAGCATTGAGCCACAGCAGTGTAGATGCCCCCTAGCATCTACACTGTAGAATTAATGCAGTTCTATACCACTTTCACTGCTATGGAATTAAGGGAGTTGTCGTTTTGCAAGGTCTATATTCTTCTCTGCCATAGAATGCTGGTGCCTCCCCAAGCTACAAATCCTAGGAACCCATGCAGTTAAAGTGGTATCAAACTGCGTTAATTTTGCTGTGTAGATGCTCCCTAGTCAGTGTTCCTATGACTACACCAAGTATGAGCATGCACTGTTATGCTTTCTACCCTTCCTTTCTTACCATTACATGTTGCCATGTAATTCTTCATTCTTTCTTCCTGCTAGTCTGTTGCTTCCTCTGCTGAGTTTTAAAAGATTGCATTGGTGGTTTCAGGGCTGTTTTCTTATTTTAGGTAATAAATAATATACCCCATGTTTCTGTGGAATAACATGCAGGATAAGTTTGCTATTATGAAAGGAACAAACAAACCTCGTTGTGAATACCCGTCTCCCATTAGGAAGCAGAAAACACACACACACACACATATATATATAAAGGTAAATGTTTCCCATTGATATGAAGTCTAGTCCAGTCCGACTCTGAGAGATGGTGCTCATTTCCATTTTTAAGATGAAGCGCCGACGTTGTCCACAGACACCTCCAAGGTCATGTGGCCGGCATGACTGCATGATGTGCCGTTACCTTCTCACAGCATTCTATGGCAGAGAAGAATATAGACCTTGCAAAACGACAACTCCCTTAATTCCATAGCAGTGAAAGTGGTATAGAACTGCATTAATTCTACAGTGTAGATGCTAGGGGGCATCTACACTGCTGTGGCTCAATGCTGGGATTTGTAGTTTGGCAAGGCACCAACACTCTTTAGCAGGGGGGACTACAGACCTTGCAAAACAACAACTCCCATAATTCCATAGCAGTGAAAGTGGTATAGAACTGCATTAATTCTACAGTGTAGATGCTAGGGGGCATCTACACTGCTGTGGCTCAATGCCGGGATTTGTAGTTTGGCGAGGCACCAACACTTTTTAGCAGGGGAGACTCCAGACCTTGCAAAACGACAACTCCCATAATATATATATATACACACACACACACACACACACACACACACACACATATACCTCGAGGGCCAAAGTTTGCTCATACCTAATTAATATTATATATTGTGGATTACTAGCACTAGAGAGCAAAAAAATGCCTCAAGTAGCGGTATATAAATATAGTAAATGAATAAATGTGGTATAGTGGCTTGAGTGTAGAATTGGAGACCAGGGTTCAAATATCCAATCAGCCATGGAAACCCATTTGCCTTCGAGGAAGGCAAAGCAAAACCTGCCAAGAAACCCTAGGCTTGCCATAAGTCAGATGAGACTCGAAAGCACGCAAGCCAGAATTAATAGTCCTACCACAGTAAGTTTACTACTTGTTTATTCTGTTGAATGTTAGTACCATTTATTCCCGTTGACTCTTCAGTCCCAAGGCAGCTAGCAAAACCAATTCGATTTTCTATCTGGGGAAAAGTGAGGTTTACTCTTTTCAAATGCTGCTCCTTAGTCTGTGAACAAATGGACTTTGATTGATCCTTGTCACACCCCAGACCCGAACCCACCTTATGACCACAGCATCACACAAGAGTCCAAGATAGAAGCAAACAGTTTATTGTAAAACACACAAAAGATATATATAGGAAAAAAGCCAGCAATAAAGAAATCAGGTATTTAATCCAAGTAGTTGGTAATCAATTCTCTCTTCTAAATCCAAGGGTAAAATAGTCCAAAGATAGTTCCAGTACACTAAGATCCAAAACCATGAGCAATACTTGCAACAGGAATGCAAAACAAGACCATGAGATACTTGGATCAAAAACCAAGACTTGAAACTAGAGAGCCAGGTGCAGCTATTAACTTGAATGCCATGTTGCCTGAACCGAAGAGCAAGGTGCCCATTAGCTCATTAATAAACAGACATGAAAGCATTGCATCTACCCTGGAATTTCTGCTTCCCACGAAGCCGTGATGATCTATGAGTCTGGCTATCTGTTCGAATCTGCATGCGTACTTGCTTTCTTAAGTCGGAAACAGGTGCGTTCCCATATGAATTTCTCACCCCTTCATCTTTGTTAGACTCCTTATCTGCCAGTAGGCTGTTAGGAATTGTGTGTTGGGAATTCAGCTTGTGATTGTGTTTCAGGATCAGTGTGCTTTGGATGTAGGGAATGATGTTAATGAGGTTCAGGATGAGTTTCAAGATGGCAATGGTTTGGTTAGTGATATTGATGCAGGGAATGACCAGGAGATCCCTGTAGTTTCCCATGAGAATGTCCCTGAGGGGTGTGGGGATGATGGTGTGCTTTCTGAATTGTTACCAGAGAGTTCTTATGAGAGAGAACATGAAAACAGCTCGGCACCTGGCCCAGCTGCAAAAATTAATGAGCAAGTAGATAATGAGCCAAAAGATAGACAAAAAGAGATCAGTCAAAACAGGAGAGCTGAGCAATGGCTTCGGCGCTCTGCCAGGCTTCGACAGAAAACAATAACAAAGCCTCAATTAAAGAGAAACCAATTTCTGACCGCTAGTGACCTAGCTAACGAGGGGATAAAAGTCTCAAGTTTGGGATGTGTAGTTAGATGAAACATCATTTAGAATCACGCCAAGTTCTTGTCCTTGTTCATGGAAGCCTTGCTTTAAAGATTCATGCTAGGATATTTCTTGTTTCATTGTTTTGATTCTTGAATTTCAAGATTGCTTACCCAAGCCTTGGATCAATGTATTCCTGATTTTCTAGATTGTATTAGAGTTGTGTGGACTTTGCTGAACTCCACCTTGGACTGATTTGTTCCTGCTTATCTTCTTACCTAATTGGATTTRCCCATTTCTTTAAAGTGCTTTTTGCTTTAYTGTTTTTTTGTTTGTTTGTTTTTTTTACTTATYTTCAATAAAAGGRTTGTTTTTTCCTATTCAACGTGTGGTGTTTAAAGTCAGAGGATTATTCCTGKCTTGGAGTGAGAGTTGAAGTCCAAAATACCYRGAGGGCCAAAGTTTGCCCATGCCTGGATTAGRGTCAACACCAACAAATTCTTTTAATTTTTTGAAAATGATTWMATTGTGAAAGTGCTTACTGTGTTAKCCYYTTTTAGCATCAGGCAATCACATCCCATGCTTTTTAAGGMCCTCAAAATGTATGTTTTTGACCACTGTRYTGGAATCTTTTAAATAAAAGGGTCAGAGTCCCAAGGGTAAGCAATTCCCMMAGCAACTTATGCTTTGTAGGCACAACTCCATAGCATCAAAGTACTAGCACACATTATACCATATCTCTTGGTTTACTTGGAATATAYGSTTGCAAGGGGCATTTATTTACCTCTGAACTCCACCAGCTTTTTATCTAGATCRCTCCTTGGTTTGAACCACAAAACCRCTTTGGAAATGTTAGTTATTTATTTYCTTTTTACTCTRCAATCCCAAGACAGATGACAAAACCGCTTTGGAAATATTAGTGTTATTTATTTTCTATCCCAAGGCAGCTGCAAAACCAGCTGGTCTTCCTTTCTGGGAAAAACTTTACTCTTTTCCAGTGAGTTGATTTGTGTTTTTCTCTTTGTGCTTTCTTCTCTGAAAAGTGCAGCAGGTTAGGATGACCGCTGGCTGTAATTAGGGAGCTCTTCTCTGAGCAGACACAACTCCTTCTGCCCTATTGACACAGCCGCTCTTCCACTTACTTCTTTCAATGGGCCCAGAAAGCCTTTCTGCCCAGCGACAGCCCTCAAAAGGGCAAACATTGGAAAAGACAACAGTGAAGCGTCCACTGCTACCCATAAAAAAACCAGACAGATGAACAATGACTCATAACTAAATTAAAACTGCAGCCGGCAGAAACATCCAATTACACAGCTGAAAAAAAATCCCTTAGAAAAAGCAAGGGTTTTATTTTGCTTGCAACTGAAAGGCTGGGAGTATGTGGGCCAATCCCATGGAGGGATTTCTGAAAGTAGATGCTGTTGGCCAAAAATAAAAAAAAGACATTAGCAGAAGAAAAATGAGGATACTAAGCATTATTCCTAAGGTAGCTCCCAATTTCTACAATGTTGGTTTGAGAAGTATAGTATTTCTGTGGATGTCAATGACAGAAGTAGGAATCACTTTTAGACTTGTTTTCATTAATGATTACTAGGCTTGGGCGGTTTCGTTCGTTAATTTCGTAATTCGTTATTAATTCGTATTTAAATTAGCTTACGATCCAATATTGAGCCATGCAGGACTACTGTGAGGAGTAATTAAAAATTGAAACAATTTTTCTAATTTATTTCGTATTGTTTCGTAATTGGTTTAAAATTGGTTCAAAATTGTTTCGTAATTATTTCCATATGTCTGGTGCAAGTTTTATAGTCGTTGTTTGTTTTATCAATGATAAAAAATAAATTATCACACCAACAGTCAACAACAGAGGGAGAGGGAAGCTTCAGAAGTTCCCCCTGTCCCATTTGGAGGGTTTTTTAGCATATTGCGCAATCGCATCCGCCATTAACGAATCGATTCGTAATTTTACGAAATTTCGTATATTTCGAACTTTTTTAAAGGAAAATTTCGGAATTCTTTTTTTTAAAAAAAAAACGAAACGCAAGGGCCCCCCTAAAAACGAAACGAGTTTAGAACCAAATTTTTCCGTAGTTACCCAAGCCTAATGATTACTGCAATAGATTACTGCAACACACTCTACATGGGGCTGCCTTTGAAGACTGTTCGGAAACTTCAACTAGTCCAACGGACTGCAGCCAGATTACTAACTGGAGCGACATACAGGGAGCACACCACCCTCTTGTTGTGTCAGCTCCACTGCCTGCCAATCCACTTCCGAACTCAATTCAAAGTGCTGGTTTTGATCTATAAAGCTCTATATGGTACTGGCCCAGCTTACTTGTCTGAAGGCATCTCCTTCTACGTCTTGCCTTTCAGTTTAAAATCATCCGGGGAGACCCTGCTCTCACTCCCGCCAGCGTTGCAAATACGTCTGGTGGGGATGAGAGGCAGGGCCTTCTCAGCTGTAGCCCCCCGCCTTTGGAACTCGCTTCCCAACGAGGTAAGATCAGCTTCATCCCTCCTGTCTTTTAGGAAGAAATTGAAGTCGTGGTTCTGGGACGAGGCTTTTGGACAGCAGGCACAAATAGCGCTTTGGATATGGAATTTTACTAGAATGGTGACACGGCGGTTAATACTGTTTTTATTGTTTTAATTAATGTTCTGTTTATTGTTTTAAATGTTGTTATCTTGCTTTGTTATATTCAATGGCATCAAATTGTGCCAAATGTAAGCTGTCCTGAGTCCCCTTTCAGGGGCTGAGAAGGACGGGGTAGAAATAAATAGGTACCGCTCAGTCGGGAAGGTAACGGCACGACGGATAACACATTATCCGAAATCTGAAATGTAAGTATTTGAACAACAGTATATAATTACTTGGGCCTCCTGGTGGCACAGAGGGTTAAACTGCTGAGCTGCTGAAGTTGCTGACCAAAAGGTTGGCGGTTCGAATCCAAGGAGTGGGGTGAGCTCCTGCTGTTAGACCCAGCTTCTGCCAACCTAGCAATTTGAAAACATGCAAATGTGAGTAGATCAATAGGTACCGCTCCATCGGGAAGGTAACGGCACTCCATACAGTCATGCCACATGACCTTGGAGGTGTCCATGGACAATGCTGGCTCTTCGGCTTAGAAATGGAGATGAGCACCAACCCTCAGAGTCGGACACGACTAGATTTAATGTCAGAGGAAAACCTTTACCTTTACCTAAGGCAAAATCGCAATGGTATTTGATATGCAAGTCCATATATACTTTTTTTGGAAATATGATTCAGGCAGTCGGGTCTACAGAACTGCTACCATAAAGTTAAGCTGTCCGAACGGCAATTATGTTATTGAATTGATTTTCCTCTTACAATGTTTTCCCCCGCAGACTCTTGTGAATTATAAAATAATACAACATGACAAAACGCGAGGCTTTTCTACAAGCTGTACTTAATGGTGCCACTGATGACTTCTTGCATTTCATCCAGCTTCATGTAAGTAAATAAATCTGTCTGGTTCATGTAGGAAGAGACTTAGGCAGCCTTGGGCTGCCGCAGAAGTTGCTGCTTCATTAAATCAGCAGGTTCCACCAATTCATTCTAAGAGAACAGGGCAGGGATTATAGAATATTGTTGGGCATCTTTCTGCCCTTCTTGCCTATTGCTACCACCAAAAAACTCCATCATTTGAGATACATAATGGAGATTTTTGGTTTGTTTTTCTCAGAAGTTTGAGGAGCACTGGAGAGCCCCGAATTATCACATGACACTTTTTGACCGTAGGGTTGCTGTAAGTTTTCCAGGCTGTATGGCTATATTCCAGAAGCATTTTCTCCTGATGTTTTGCCCACATCTGTGGCAGGCATCCTCAGAGGTTATAAGGTGTGTTGGAAGCCAAGCAAGTGAGATTTATATATCAGTGGAAACTCCAGGGTGGAAGAACTCTTGTCTAGTTGAGGTAAGTGTGAATGTTGCAGTTGGCCACCTTGATTAGCAGTGAATGACCTTGTAGCTTCAAAGCCTGGCTGCTTCCTGCCTGGGGGAATCCTTTGTTGGGAGGTGTTAGCTGCCCTGATTGTTTCCTGTCTGGAATTTCCTTGTTTTTTGAGTGGTGTTCTTTGATTGCTGTCCTGATTTTAGAGTTTTTTTAAAAAAATATTGGTAGCCAGATTTTGTTCATTTCATGGTTTCCTCCTTTCTGTTGAAATTGTCCACGTGCTTGTGGAGTTCAATGGCTTCTCTGTGTAGTCTGACATGGTGGTTGTTAGAATGGTCCAGCTTTTCTGCGTTCTCAAATAATATGCTGTGTCCAGGCTGGTTCATCAAGTGCTTTGCTACGGCAGACTTTTCTGTTTCAGTTAGTCTGCAGTGCCTTTTCTGCCATAGATGTGGGCAAAATGTCAGGAGAGAATGCTTCTGGAACATGGCCATACAGCCCGAAAAACTCGCAGCAACCCAGTGATTCCATCCTTGAAAGTCTTCGACAACACTTTTTTTTTACCATCCTGGTTTTTCAGTTGTCTTTGTTTGCAACTGGTGGCATGTTCAAGGAAGAATTCGTCTTACTGCAGTGTGGCATGAAGTATGAAAACATTTTGGTACTTTATTTTAATACATTTTAAAAAAAATATAATTTTGCAGAAGGATGCCAGTGATCCGTTTGACCTGAACGAGCGGCTTCAAGAAATGTCAAGGAAACAGAAAGAAGCATTATGGGAGAAGTTAAAGCAAATGTTAGCCCAAGTTTTGGTGGAAGATCCAGTAGAAGCATGGCAGAGAGGGAGTGAAGATGGTGAGGATGACATGGAAACTGAAACAGCCTCTAAAAAGGTAAGTAATAGTATCGATTCCAGAGAGCTGAACACAGAGGTCATGGCTGAGTGATATACGGGGTGAGCATCTGGTGGAACTGGCACTTACCTTTCCTTCCAGTACAGTACTCTATGGCACATATGTTCCTTTTTTTTTTTTAATGATTTTTATTGTGCATTTTACATAGGTGTACAGATAGACAACAGGTGTGAGAGGGGTGTGGAAGATCGGTTAAGGGGAAAGGGGTTGAGACGGGGGTAGGGAGGGAGGGGGAGTAACATATGAATTGATTTCCGTCAAGACAACGTATAGACATGATAATTAGAAACAAATATTGACACTACAAAAGAGTCCCAAGCAGCTGAGAGGAAAAAGGAAGGGGCCTGAGGCTATTACGAATTGTGGGAGTTGAAGTCCAAAACACCTGGAGGGCCAAAGTTTGCCCATGCCTACTCTAGCACTATATGGCATTGAAAATAAGAGGTTTCAAAGTTTTGACCACTTGTATGCAGATGAGAATTGCAGGAAAGGGAATGCTGGGGAGTTTTTTTTCACATCATCTCCTGCCTCCCTTTGGTCTCCAAACTTACCTTTCAGACTTGTTGGAGCATGCAAGGAATCTGAGTTTGTGTGTGTCAGGTGTAATATAAGATTCATGAAGCTGATTGCCCAGGGTGATGGCTGAGCCAGGGACTTTTGGATACTGTTACATTTTAGTTCAGGTTCGAGCTAAGCAGGTGCAGAGAGAAGAAGAGAGAGAGAGAGACTGATTTACTTCTTGGTTGCTGAAAGAAGATCTCATATATGGACACAGAAAGGACCATTTTAAATCTCTCATAAAAGGGAATGTAGTGAATTGATGCAACTGATTAGATTGGACATATGTTGTTCTGAACTACTTGTTCTTTACTATTCACCTGTGTAGCATATTTTCTTTCTCTGGCAAGGCAATGTGTGGGCTGATCCAATGTGAACTACACATGGTTTATTTTACATTACGCCACAAAGCTCATTATTTTAGCTTCCATCTAGGCATGGTACTCTCCAATAGCAGGGTTTCTGAGAAGGATTCCTGACTTGTAAAGCTGCAGCTCCCACAATTCCATAGCTTTGAGCCTGGACAGTTAAAGTGGTGTCAAACTACATTAATTCTTCTGTATAGGTACAACCTTTGCCTCCACTACATACAGAGGAAGGAATTTGGGGAGATCCCTGAATGTTTCCAAAATCTTTGTGATATTTATTTTGAATATTAGCTGCTTCTGATGTTCCCATTACTCATCTCTCTCCTTTTAACTATGTTGCCTCGTCACTTTTAGGAACAATCCATAGCTGTGATTCAAGGCGTGACAACTGTAGTCACCACTTCCATACCTATAGCCGATGAAAATATAAATTACCAATCTCTTTTGGAATGTGCTTTGATATTAAACGGTATGTATTTTGTGTGATAACTTATGCAACGCCTTCGGTCTGTTGTTTATATGCACCAGATTTGTCCTTGATCAATCTCGAATCAGTGTGCTAACCAGAGTATGGTAGCTTTGTTTTGTATTATTGGGTGGGGGGGGGGGAGAAAGGATGAAAGTGGAGTTACTTTAAAGTTAATGCACAGAGACTTCTACTCACTTGTGTTTTGTATCGTTGGGAGCAGGGTGGCAACCACACAATGATGGATCTGGACCAAATTTGGCACGAATACTCAATATGCCCAATTGTGAACACCGGTGGACTTTGGGGGAAATAGACCGTAACATTTGGGAGTTGTAGTTGCTGGGATTTATAGTTCACCTACAATCAAAGAGTGTTATGAACTCCACTAACCGTGGAATTGAACCAAACTTGGCACATAGAACTCCTGTGACCAACAGAAATACTGGAAGGGTTTGGTGGGCATTGACCTTGAGTTTTGGAGTTGTAGTTCATCTACATCCAGAGAGCATTCTGAACCCCACCAACGATAGAATTGGGCCAAACTTTCCACACAGAACCCTCATGACCAACAGAAAATACTGTGTTTTCTGATGGTCTTTGGTAACCCCTCTGACAGCCCCTTGTGACCACCCCAGGGGTCCCGACCCCAGGTTGAGAAACCATGTCTATAATAACACTCGGATTGCTACATTCGTTTTTTGATTCCGAAATGTTGTAATGCTCGCAGTAAACTTATTTGTTTGTTTTCCTGGTAGGCATTATTTCTGCTTTACCTGACACTGAAAAATCGTTGTTGAGAGCCCTCCAGGACCTGTGTGAACAGTGGTGGACAAAGGGACTGAATGGGAAGGAACAATTTGGGAAAACCACTTTCGTCCACTTTTTGAAATGCAGCCTTGAGAAGAAAACAGTTGCGGTATGCTCTCTATTTTTAGACTTTTGTTTGATTTGTGGCAGTCAAAATTGCATTGTAGACCATAAGGGGGTCTCGCCTTCCCTTTTCCTGAGGGAAAATCTATCCCTGAGAATTGTTACGACTGAATAAAGACGGATAGATGAAGAGTAGAAAATTAAGCTTACTACTGTATGAGTAGAGCATAGCCAAGCATCATGGCACCCATGTTTGCATTCTCAGTTTGACAGTCTTCATCTATTTATCTCAAAGCATAGCAGAACATAGCTTTAATTATTTATTTATTTACAGCATTTATATTCTGTCTCTCCCACTCTAAAGGGGACTCAGGGTGGATGACAGAACACATACACAGCAAACATTCAGTGCTGTTAAACAGACAGGACAGACAACAGATAGAAATATTATGTTGATATTTTCCCCAACTTCGGCATCCTGGAGGTTGTGCTCGAGTCTGGCCACAGGGGGGTGCTGTCGCTCCAGAAGAACCCTTGATCATAGACATCCTTCTTCCTTTGATCACCAGGATTTTCTGATATTTCTTTTATAGCTCCGTAAAATAACTCCCTGCTTAAATGGTGCCTAATTTCTCTACTCACAGCTATTTTCGAACTGCTTAGGTGGACAATAAGCTGGGCTAACCCCGACCCGGGCTTCAAACTGCCAATCTTTTGATTGGTAGGATCTATTGCTGCTGATGATTAAGTCTGGCCCTTATGTTTATGTTATAGTCAAGGGTGTCAAACTCATTTTCATCAAGGGCCACATATATATTGATGTTTTTAATCTGTTAATTGTTTAACTATTGTAATTGTTTTTATATTTGTATGTATTTGGATAAGGGCATCGAATTGTGCCTTCTTTTTGTAAGCCGCCCTGAGTCCCCCCTCGGGGGTGAGAAGGGCGGGGTATAAGCAGCAGAAATAAATAATAAATAAATCAGCCTTAGCGTTGCCTTCAAAGGACTGTTGAATCCATGGACGGAGAATCCGTGGATACCAAGGGGCAAATATACTGGTATTTTTTTACATAGTAGTCAGTTCTCTTTAGTTTTCACCCAGGTTGGGTACGCTGATGTTATTGAATGACAACTTCCATCACTTTTCATTATTTGCCATGTGGACTGGGGATAATGAGAATTGCAACCCAGCAACACTTGTGGCTCTGTGGTTGGGGAAAGGTTAGAGGACATTCCAAAGTCAGACATCAGATTCTCAAGTCTTGTATCTACCTTCAAGCCCCACTATCCTGACTAAAAAACAACGTCCAACCTTCCAGATGTTACTGTATCACAACTCCCATCAACTCTAGTCATGATGTTTAATGATAAGGAATAAAAATGTCAGGCATCTGGAAGGCCACATAAAATGACCTGACGGACTGGATTTGTCCCGCAGGTGTTAAGTTTGATACGTGTTATTGTCTGTGTTTGTGGATATCTTTGTGACCACAATATTTGTTTGTATTTCTCTGTTGATTGATGGGATTTGTGTCCCTCATAATCCTCACCAAAATGTAATTGTGCATCTCTCTTAGGGAGCAGATATAGTCCGCTTATGGCACTTTCATCGGGCCTTACTGTGTTTCGATTACGATTCAGAGGAGAGTAACGAAGTGAAGGATTTGTTACTTCGATGCTTTATGAGTGTTTGGCATATGAAAAAAGAAGAGGTAAGAAAACTTTTACAGCTTTTAAAATGATGGATTCTAGGCAGATAAATGACTAAAATGGGAGATAAGTGGGTAAATGACAAAACAGTGGGAACACAGAGCTGAGCTGAGACTTCTCATGTGTTATTGACATTTGTCAGGAACCTGAGACTCACCGGTTGTTCAGTTCAGTTTTTTGAAGGAAGTGGTTATGATATTTGACTAATGTTTGAAAAATTGTGGCATTCAGCTACAACAGCGTTTCTCAACCTGGGGGTCAGGACCCCAGGGGGTTGCGAGGGGGTGTTAGAGGGGTCGCCAAAGACCATCAGAAAACACAGTGTTTTCTGTTGGCCATGGGGGTTCTGTGTGGGAAACTTGGCCCAATTCTATCGCTGGTGAGGTTCAGAATGCTCTTTGATTGTAGGTGAACTATAAATCCCAACAATTACAGCTCCCAAATGTCAAGGTCTAATTTCCCCAAACTCCACAACTGTTTAGATTTGTGCATATTGAGTATCCGTGCCAAATTTGGTCCAGATCCATCATTGTGTGAGTCTATAGTGCTCTCTGGATGTAGGTGAACTACAACTGCAAAACTCAATGTCAATGCCCACCAAACCTTTCCAGTATTTTATGTTGGTCATGGGAGTTCTGTCTGCCAAGATTGGTTCAATTCCATTGTTGGTGGAGTTCAGAATGCTCTGATTGTAGGTGAACTATAAATCTCAACAATTACAGCTCCTAAATGTCAAGGTCTATTTCCCCCAAACTCCACAACTGTTCAGATTTGAGCATATCGAGTATCCGTGCCAAATTTGGTTGAGATCCATCATTGTGTGAGTCCATAGTGCTCTCTGGATGTAGGAGAACTACAATTCCAAAATTCAAGGTCAATGCCCACCAAACCTTTTCAGTATTTTCTGTTGGTCATGGGAGTTTTGTCTGCCAAGATTGGTTCAATTCCATTGTTGGTGGAGTCCAGAATACTCTGTTTGTGTATTAGCGATTAATCCCAGCAACTACAACTCCCAAATAACTAAATCAATCTTCCCCCACCCCAACTCCACCAGTATTCAAGTTTGGTCAAATTGGGTATTAGTGCCAAATTTGGCCCAGTAAATGAAAGTACATCCTGTATATCAGATATTTGCATTACGATTCATAACAGTAGCAAATTTACAGTCACAATGAAAATAATTTTATGGTTAGGGGTCACCAAAACATGAGGTGTCACAACATTAGGAAGGTTGAGAACCACTTAGCTACAACATAATTAAATTAATTTATTCTTTGCTTGGATTTCCCCCCCTGAAAATGGTCCTGCTGTGATAGTTATTTTAGAATGACATGCTGAAGACATGCTGTGGGCTTATTTCCAAGGAAGCTGGAATTCTTCCCTAACTGTATATCAGTACAAGCCATATGGTTCTTGCAATATTCTTCTGCAGCTTTTTAAAAAGGGAATGTGACTATTTGTGGAATAACAGCACAGGCAGTTCCTGAATTACAAACATGCGACTTTACAAATGACTCATAGTTAAGAACAAAGGTGAGAGAACAGGAAGTGAGAAAAATATATCTTTTGGAAGGGAAATGCACTCATCGTGGGGAAAAGATGTCCCACTGAAGCTGTATCCCCAATCCTTGTTTCTACAGCAAGCCAAATCTTTCCAAATCCAATTTTCACAGGGACAGAAAGTGAGGTGAAATCTTCTGAACAGATGCACAAACAGCAAAGGAAAGACCACAGGGATGTTAACCCTTTCCTGTGCTATCCAAAGCTAGAAAATATATATATATATTGGCTGGAGTTATACTTAAATGTACCTGTTCCTCCTTACATACAAATTCACCTTAAGAACAAACCTACAGAATTGGTCTTGCTCGTAACTTGGGGACTGCCTGTAGTTATATGATCCTTCCTTTACAGGGAAGAAGATTCCTGAGCTTTGTTTTCACGTGGAATGTCAACTTCATTAAGCTGATACACGGGACTGTGAAAAACCAGTTGCAGTGTTCTCCTAGGTATGTTTCACTTACCACCTAAATACTTTCATACAAGATGATAGAATTCTGAAAAAACTCCTTATTTATAGTTTATGAATACAAATGCTTGGACAAACATGACTTCTTCCAAATGGGTGCAGCTTCAGGAACTAGGAATTCACCCACTTTTTACATTGCTGTAGAGATTGGAATTCTGCACCTATTAAATCCTCTTTTTGAATGTCCTCCCCACAAAATGGCCATTTCTGTGTCTGTAGAGGGGAGGGTATGAGAAAGTAACATTCAACTATCTTTCTCTGGATGATTACACAGCAGGGATTACACAACAAGCCTTCTCCAGGAGATCTTGGAGAAGGCTGTTGTAATTTGAAGGATGATGTGGCTGCAAAGAATTCAGAGCTTAGGAGGCAAACATGCAGAGTCCAACCTTAAAAATCATTAATGTTATTTTTTTTTTACAATAATAAGAAATAACTGCATTTCTTAATAATCAAGATCTGGGTCTGAGCTACTCTAACACCCATCTCTTCAAAGGTTTCAAGAGAGAGAAACACAAACCACTACATCTCTCTTGACACACAAGCAGAGAGAGATCTCAAAGCACACAGCACATACTCTCCATATTAACGTGTAAGAAGGTAGAAGTCAGTTTCAAAAAGCTTGCAGTAGAAAAGGATCCATTTTAAACAACCAGTCAGAATGAGAGCAGAAACAGAAAACAAAATAGATACATTCCAACTATCATCCACAAGACATGGGGAAGGGAAACCCTCAGACTGTTCTAATGCAAACTACTTGTTGAGGACTTCAAACTTGGGTAGTGTTGGGTTAAATCCCAACAACAATAATAAGCATTAGCAGCAGCAGCAGTAGCAGTAGTAGTAGTAGTAGTAGTAGTAGTAGATTTTTTTCTTACACAACTCTCTTCAAAGCAGGGCACAACACAGTTAAAAACACATACTTATAAATAGATAAAACTTTGATGAGATCAGCAAATGATTAAGGCAAATGAAATGGGATAGCTCTCTCCACTATGGAGAATGTTTACCTCCACTTTGTTACAAACCTTACCTGTTTGTACTTGCTGAAATGATTAGGCTGGGCCTGAATGAGTGATAGAAATGGTAACATTTCTCTTTACATTAAGATGTGGCTCCAACAGTTGTCTTACAAAACCCCTCATAAAGAAATTGCTGCTTGATACATCTGCATTTAATAATACGCACAGCCCTGTACTAGTGTCCACATACGCAAGAAAAATTGCTTAGCATTGCAGAAGCTAATAAAACAACAATGAAATGTTTTATCCAGGTTTTAGATGTAGTTGAACACAGAAGACAACATTTATTTATTTTGTGTCAGAAGCATTGCATAAATACGTATAAAACTGATAAAAATAGAGGGAACACAAGCAGTTAAGTAATTTTTTTTACCAAAAATGGGCAACAGCGACAGCATTGTCTGTAGATTTAAACAATTCTTCTTTTGTGCATGAAGCAGGGCATTGTGGGCAAGGATACAGATGCAGAGTTGTCTGTTCCGCTCCACAATCGCACAAGGTGGAGGATTCTTCTAGGTAGTGCCAATTTGCCAGGTTGTCTTTTGATCTGCCAACACCACTTCTGAGTCTGTTCGAGGACTTCCAAGTTGTCCAATCTTGGTTTGCCCCTGGAGGCAGACCCTTGTGGGGGGTCATCCATTTGGGATTTCCTGGTTTCTCTTGCATTAAGGGAAACATAAAGAGGAGTGGTGGTTCTCATTAAGTGTTTCCTTGATTTGAGTCTACTGGGAGGAGGCTGATAGCCATACAGAGGATGGCTTTCACAAAGTTCAACCTTATTTCTCTCACAGTTAGCAGCAACTTCATGTCGCGCATCAGGCAGGGCAAGGCCAGCCAGCTTTAAGAGTTTATCAACAAAGCCAAAAACTGAGATGGATCTCATATTCTGTTAGCTACTAAAATTGAATGTTTTTTTGTGTGTGGAAGAATGCAGCATGCATGGATGTGTGTTAAAAATAAATAAATAAATGTTTCTCTGCTCATTTTAAGATTTCTGTTTCCCTAATTGTCTCTTAATATATGCGCATAGGTCTTTGGTGACGCATATTGCTGAAATTTATTTCCGAGCATGGAAGAAAGCTTCAGGGGAGATATTGGAGGTATATTGTTTAAAATTGACAATTTTTTTTTCCATTTCAAGATATGGTTTTCATTCTGTTTCAAAAAAAACCAAACTGTTAATATGTTTTTACTCTTCAATGTATGTGTATTTTTGACCTTGAATCTACTGCATCTGAACATGGTTTGGTAACTGCACAGTGGCAATAGGAAGGTGCTCCAAAGGATCACTGTTTCTGCACAGTGAATCATTGGATGCCCTGTCTGCGCTTTGGAAGAACTTTATAGGTCCCGCAGCCTTAAGAAAGCTCAGCATTCTTGGGGATCACACGGCGCATATATATATATATATATATATATATATATATATATATATATAAAATTATTGCCATCTGGCAGGCGTAACAGACAAGGACAAACAGACTGAAGGATAGCTTTTAACCTAAACCTGTGGCTATGTTGAACTTCATGGTTTTGCACTTATGTGGCATTGGGGGCTGTGTGGTGGTGGTGTGGAGGGATGGGCACAATGCCAAATAAAGCTATTCTCTATTCTCTAAATGTGCCTATAGATGCTATGGCAATATTAAGCTACCTGGAGACTATTTCAGTGAGGCACATTTATTTACTTACTTATTCAAAACTATTATTTATTTATTTACAGTATTTATATTCCACACTTCTCACCCCGAAGGGGAGTCAGGGCGGATCACAGAACACATATATGGCAAACATTCAATGCTGTTATACAGTGACAAGACAAACAACTGTACATAGATAGAAGTATATATAGGCTTTACCATCTTCGGCATCTTGGCGGCATGTGCTCAGTTCTGGCCATGGAAGCTGCTGTCGCTCCATCTTCCCTGCCAAAGAGCTTTGTTCGTAAGCTTCCTCCTTGATCAAATCACCGGCATTTTTCTGGAATTTCCTTATGGGTGCCTTAAATACATCCCCGCTTTAAAGCGGTACTTATTTATCTACTTACATTTGCTTTCAACCAGTTAGATAGGCAGAAGCTGGGCTTCGAATTGTCAACTTTTCAATTGGCAAAATTTACTGCAGCCGGCTGTTAACCTGCTGTGCTAAAGCCCGGCCCCCTTAAATGCATACCAATTTTGACAATGACATAGTGTGTGTATTCAAGTTTTCAGTACAGTGACCAAATAGCCTGGCGTTGTGTTGAAACACTTTTAAAGATAAGAGGCACTCATTATTTTACTAGTCTATTCATGGGAAGAAGCAGTTGTATAATCCCATTTCACATTAGCTCGAATCACAGGGAAATTGGAGTCCGTTAAACTGGTTCAGAGATAACAGGTTCCTATTCAGCAGTTTGCTTGTTTACTTTTTTTTATATTGCCTTGCGCTCTCTCTCTCTCTCTCTCTCTCTCTCTCTCTATATATATATATATATATATACACTGTTTATTTAACAGAACTCATAATGCCTACCAGCAATTAATTTTTCAAATATATATATAGCATAGCCGGAAGGTGAAGGTATACAGCAGGCTTGGGCAAACTTGGGCCCTCCAAGTGTTTTGGGCTTCAACTCCCACAATTCCTAACAGCCAGGAGGAGTTGAAGTCCAGAACACCTGGAGAGCCCAAGTTTGCCCATTCCTGGAAAACAGGAGTTGAAGTTCATTTGAGAGCCTCCAAGTTGACCACTTTGGTTTAAACTAGTGGCCCTCAAGGGATTTTGGACTTCAGCTCCCAGAATTCCTAACTAGAATTCTGGGAATTGGAATCCCAAACACTTAGATGACCAAAGTTTGGGTGCCACTATAATAATAATAGTAATAATAATAATAATAATAATATAAAACTTTATTTTTATTCCGCCCTATCTCCCCAAAGGGACTCAGGGCAGATTCCAACATAATAATGACAAACATTCAATTCCTACATAATACACACAATACTAACATAAAATACCAGAAAACCCCCACATATAAAAGTAACATTAAAGCCTAACATGAAATTAAGACCTAACATCAGTAATTTAAACCTGACATAAATAAGTTAAACTGCACGAAATCAGGCCGAATTCCATTCAGTTTGTGCTTCATCACTACTTACAGTCACAGCATCATCCCATAACATGACATTTTAACACCTTGGCAGAAACCCTTGAAGAAAGTTGGAAGATTAATCCCAGAAACCCATATGAAGCTGTGCAAAGAATTGTTTTCTTTTCATTATATACCTTTTTGGGAACAGTGGGACACCGAGGAGAGTCTTTAGAGAGAAACTCAGTTGTGGGTTAGGTTAATATTTGAAAAGGCTTCAGGTTATATACACATTATATATTATTATATATGAAATCCATCACTGACAAATTGAACTGGGCTTTGAAACAAATCATTGCTCTTATTGCAGGTAATTGAACACAGCTGCATCCAGGATTTCATGCATCATGCAATTCATCTTCCCAGGAATTCACCATTGCATCCCAAAGTACGGGAGGTACGTGTTACTTACCTTAAAAACAGTGATTTTTAGACTTCTTTCATTCTGGGATCCTTTCCTGTGCTGACGTGCCTATTGAGAAATCTCCCATGCGTTTAAGTGTTGCTGAAGATTCCCTGGAGCTTTCTAGGGTGCGTCTTCCATTTACACAAGCAAATAAATGCTCAAATTATTGGGGGAGTATTTGCTATTGTTCTTGAAGCTCCATTGTTTATTAGGCAACTGGCTGAGATGAAAGGAGTGGCGTATTAAGAGCAGTGTGTAATATTAAGAGCTGTTCTGGCTGAATTTAGTCCAGATCTGTTGGAATGCCTGTGTTTCAGCAGTGGCAACAGCAAATAAATTATACTTCTCTGCCACTATTGCATCTGTCCAGCATCATCCACCAGAACTATGTTGAATAGTCAGAGGTCTTCTATGGTCTGCCCCATAAGAAGAGAATGCAAACTCCTCAAAAGGCCCACTGTGAATCATTTGCATGATAATTTTCAGACAAAATCCTTTGCGTCCACTCTGACTTGCATGCTGTAGCTGATAAACCTGTCTGATGAGGATGCTGTAACTGGAGATCCTGCAAAGAGCAGAGGCTTGGAATAGATGATCCATAAGGCCCCTTCCAGCTATAAGAACAAGCCCTATGAGGAGCGGCTTAAGGAGCTGGGCATGTTTAGCCTGAAGAAGAGAAGGCTGAGAGGAGACATGATAGCTATGTATAAATATGTGAGAGGAAGTCACAGGGAGGAGGGAGCAAGCTTGTTTTCTGCTTCCCTGGAGACTAGGACGGAACAATGGCTTCAAACTACAAGAAAGGAGATTCCATCTGAACATGAGGAAGAACTTCCTGACTGTGAGAGCCGTTCAGCAGTGGAACTCTCTGCCCCGGAGTGTGGTGGAGGCTCCTTCTTTGGAAGCTTTTAAACAGAGGCTAGATGGCCATTTGTCAGGGGTGATTTGAATGCAATATTCCTGCTTCTTGGCAGGGGGTTGGACTGGATGGCCCATGAGGTCTCTTCCAACTCTTTGATTCTATGAACTGTATGGACATTTATTCTCTTTTTATTTTATCAGTTCCTGAGCTATTTCCACAAACAAACCAAATCCCGCCAAGGAGTTGAAGAAGTCCTTTACCGGCTTTACCAGCCTATTCTTTGGAGATCGCTAAAGGTGATTCTTTCTCAAGAATGTAATGTTTTGTAAATGTTCTAAGCACGTTGATTAAAAAAAAAACTGTACTGTTTATTGTTTGATGTTTTAATTATTTTGGATTTTAATGCATTTGTTTATTTATCGATATGTATATATGGCATTGAATTGTTCCCTTTGTGAGGCTGTCCTGAGTCCCCTTTGGTGTGAGAAGGGCGGGATACAAGTATCGTAAATAAATGAATAAATACAGTTTTAAGGGAACCTCTGAAAGTTGAATTCTGTGGGGTGCCTATTATGCTCGGATATATGCAGGATGGTAAATGAAAACAGAGATTGAGCACAGTAGTTTGGGACCTGTAAAATAATGTACCATAAGGAGATGCAACTCTGGCCTTCCAGATGTTTTTGGCCAATGACCTCCATGAAGCCAAGGATGAGATGTGGGATTGAGGGAGTTGTGATACCAAAACTGACTAAAGCAGTGGTTCTCAACCTTTTTCAGAAATCTTTCTCTTTAATGGCCCCCAAATTTCCAAGGTTTGAAGTCTCCATGCCCTAACATTTTACCTAGCTCTAAGGAAGGGTTTAGTGGAGGATCAAAATATGACACTGGTGACCATTGCCTCTGCACTTGTTTATGGTTCTGACTTTCCCATGCTTTTGTTTGTGACCTTATTCTGTGGTTGGCTTTATCGTTATTTACAGTATACTGGCGATTGTACTGTACTCTTATTCCTGGCATAAATCTGTCAGTCTTACTTTCCTTTGATCACTGAGAGCCATGTCACTGAGCAGCTTGATACATACTTCCAAGATGCACTTCTAATAATAAGCTTTATGATGATCTCCCAAGTTATAAGATTATGAAGCCATTGTGTATGCACAGTCCCTTTGCCTTTCTTTTTGCACTGTGAAATTTACGACTGGAGCCTTTTTCTGAAGCCAAGCTGCCGTGGCTGCTTGGCATCTAGTCTTAATTTTGAAATCACTCCATTTTAAGTGTTGCTTTGATGTTTATTCATAAAATCTATTACTCAGAGCCGTATATGTGCCTTGGTTCTGAAATGCAGCAAAACTACTGATTGTGACTTGTAACATCACTACGAGCCTTCCAAAAGGATGTCAGCTTAATAAAAAGAGTTTTGATTGCTTGTATTCATATGGCCAGTCCTAATTAAAATGTCAGTGCAAAGATATTTGGCCAACATCAGCACTAAAATGCTAACCCCCAAAACGAGGAAGGAGAGTAGCATCCTGTATACTTTATGGTTCTTCTTTACAGTAAATGGAAACAACATGCCGTATATACTCGAGTATAAGCCGACCCAAATATAACCTGAGGCACCTAATTTCACCACCCAAAAACTGGGAAAACGTATTGACTCGAGTATAAGCCAAGGTTGGGAAATATAGCATCTACTGGTAAACTTCAAAATAGAAATAGATACCAATAAAATTACATCAATTGAGTCATCAGTAAATTAAATGTTCTTGAATGTCCCTCAAAAACAAAGTTTTGCAGTTAAATGAACTTTTCCTTATGAAAGAACCAGTTAGGAAATTACATGTTTAAACCAGGAACAAAAATTGTGTTACAGAATATAATCCCACTTGCTGCAAGGGGCAGGAAACTAAACTAAAGTGGGAAGCTCTACCAAACATGTTTTCAGATTTAACAGGTATCACTGCTGCTCTTTATGTTTTTCTATCACACCACCAGTTGTCCTCATTTCTCTCTCAACCTCAGTTGTTTCCTCCAATGAAATAAAAGGATTTTATTGTCTCTCTTTTCCTCCATTCACCTCTCAGGGCCCTTCCAGACAGGCCCTATATCCCAAGATCTGATCCCAGGTTTTCTGTTTATCCCAGATTATCTGGTAGTGCGGACTCATATAATCCAGTTCAAAGCAGAAAACCTGGGATCAGATCCTGGGACAGAAGGGCCCTCAGCAATGTTTATGCATCTCAGGAAGGATCAGATAACAGTTTTGACAGATTCCTAGTACTCTTCCATTAGTTTATTATTATTTTTTGACTTTTTTAAATTCATTAATAAGCTTCTTGCCATGATCTTTGCCCTCAGTTTTTGCAACTACCAATTGTTTCCCCTTCTTCAGTGACTTAATTATGTGAACAAATCAAATTCAGGCTATAGATTTTAGTGGAAAATTTGTTATCATAACTTGCTGGGAAGGAGGCAGTTTGAAAAGGGAAGGAGCCATAAATTGCTGGTTTTCAGTGAAAGAAAGCCCAGCAAAGCTGATATTGGGCCTGAAATGTCCTTCTCTGGTGTTAAGGCAACCCAATTACAATTCGGTGACTTATCTGAGCCCTTTCCCTCGTGTGTAACAGGCCAGGAACTCAGAAGTTCGATCAAATGCGGCATTGCTATTTGTTGATGCATTTCCTATTTTGGATCCCGGTTTCAACAGAGAAGATACTGATAATGAAATCCAAAGGCAATTTGATGAACTTTTTGTAAGTAGTTTTGGGATTGTTTCTTAAAAAAATATTTCAGCTTCACAAAACCTTAGCAGAAGCAAGTGCATTGAAGTGATGTTAGAAGTTTAAAATTGTTTCTTCTCACAGACAGCAAATAATGCTTTATTTTGGACTCTTCGGTGTTAATGGAGGATAGCACTCCATGCACCTAATTAAGTGAAAACCTTATGTCCTTAAAATTCTGTGCCATATTTATAGTGAAAAGTCTGCTAACCAAATTCCTTATAGGATTGGCTGACACTCTAAATGCAGTTATTAATTGACGGCAGAATAGTGAATGTTGATGACTTTCCTTCCAGCCTTGAAATAATACAGTGTCACTTCATTAGGTGCAAAACCTAAATAATAAACATCTTAGATAGCTAAGGTGCTGTAATATGAGGGTTATCCAGAAAGTAAGGTTGCAAGGCACGTAGCTTTCACAAGGAATTTTCATGGGGGAAGTTGATATCACTGCTGTGTAGTGGGAAGCCAACAGAAGCGAACGAGCAGTGCCAGTCGTCAGTAGCTCATCGACTGGCATTGTGGTGAAGTTTAGAGATGAGCGTCCTCATTCCGTTTCCCTTCCAGTGCGAAGTTCACGCTGTAATATGCTACCTAAATGCTAAGTGCATGAATGCTGCTGCGATTCATCGTGGAATCGTTTCACTTTATGGAGAGGACGTAATGTCAAGACAGCATGTGGTAAAATATTTTGTGAGACCATGAAGAAACATTGTGGGATGCTGACGGCGGGAGTCTGTCTCCTTCATGACAATGCGTGTCCGCACACCGCTCATGCAACACAAGAGTTGTTGACTTCATTTGGTTGGGATGTTTTAAGCCACCCCTCTCACAGCCCCTCTCACACCCAGTGACTATCATCTGTTAACTAAATTGAAATTCCTTGGTGGAAAACACTTTTCCAACGATGACAAGGTGCAAACTGAAGTGATGAAATGGCTGAAAAAAGTGGAGGGAACTTCTATGAGACAGGCATCAAAAACCTGTCCTATGGATGACAAAATGTATTGAACCGAATGGTGATTATGTGAAAAAATAATGCAATCCCTATGCGACAATCCAGGCAAGTTTGATTAAAATATATTCATTCTTTGTATTTTAAAATAATAAATAATTAAATAAATTTTATTTATACCCCGCCTTATCTCCCCCAGGGGGACTCGGTGCGGCTTACATGAGGCCAAGCCCATCAGTGCAGCACATACATTGTAATACAAAAACATAACAGTGATTAGAAAATAAAATACATAAAATGAAAAGAAATATAATAAATGACACAGGCAATATAAAACATGCAATTAAAAACAGGATTTCACTGGGCAGGGCCACATTCAAGGCTAAAATTTTAAAAATGGTGCAGATCATCAGGATGAGGATCCGAGAATGAGGGAGGATTCAATTGCACGAACTATAAATAAAGTGCTTCTAAGGATGTTTAGTGCAAAGTTTGGTCAGGGAGTTTCTCACATTCAATCACTGAAGGCACATTGGAATCTTTTAACCTTACTTTCCGGATAACCCTCATAGCAATAGAATAAATTTAAGCAAGGTAAATTCTAATATAAGCATAGAAGAAATCAGAAAAAAGTTTACATTTCTGAAAATGTTTTAAGCACCATCTCTTAAGAAGGCCTTCTGTCAAAATAACTGTTGCCTGCTTGCAAAGAAGAAGGCAATCGTAACATTAATCGCATTTTTTTATCACCTTCCTCAAATTCGTAGAGTCTCTTGGAGGATCCTCAGCCTCTGGTTCGCTCAACAGGAGTGCTTGGCGTTAGTAAAATAGCATTCAGATATTGGGAAATGATTCCTGCAACTGTGCTGGCTGATCTTTTAAAAGCTGTCATTGAAAAGCTTGCTTTTGATACCTCGTCAGCAGATGTCCGGTGCTCTGTTTTTAAAGTAAGTTTTGGAATTAAACGACATCTCTTCTTTTAAGACAGTATTGTTTCTCTTTAAGTTGCAAGCTAATGTCTCCTGTAAAATCACTCTCAGTGAACCATGATTTGCAGTAATGTAAATGAGTCACTTTTATCTAAATGCATGACTTTTTTGTGCTCCATTGGAGATAGTTAAGTTCTCCTCTCACTTCAGCCACTAGAATAACACACCAGGTGCTTTTGCAGCCAATGTAAGTTGACGTTTTCAGTCTTTTAATGACATATTTAAAAGAAGGAAGGGTTGCAGAGGCAGTTTGGCTCTATTCATTAAACTAATAGTAAACTTATGTGGCGATTACATCTGATTGGAATGAGAATACAATCTTAATAAGCAGGAAGACATCATAAAACTTTTCGAAGCATAAACATACGCTAATAATATTTGTACCTGGAGACTGAAAGCTTAAGGAGCTGTTCGGAGCTGTAAAAACTTTTTCTTTGTGTTTCCGTAAATATAATTCTCCGTCTTTGTTCCGGTTCAGCCGTACCTTCCTAGAAGGAATATTAATAGAGAAATTTTATAAGCAGAACACATAGCACTTTGCGTTAAGACATCACATTTTAATAAAATGTGTTGCTTTGCTCTTTGTCATTCTCCTGGGCCAGTTTTCCATGCTGCGTGCGTTTAGCAATTAGAATAGTTTCAGTGCTGTATTCTCTGTTTCCTTGTGATAACCTTTTATTGATGTTTTCCTTTCTGTCTTGCAGTGCTTGCCTATAATTTTGGACAACGCACTAAGCCACCCGTTATTGGAACAGCTACTGCCAGCTCTGAAATACAATCTCCATGACAATTCGGAGAAAGTTAGAGTGGCTTTTGTTGATATGTTGCTGAAAATTAAGTCTGTCAAGGCTGCTAAGGTAGGATAAATTAGGTTTGCTAGGCTGCAGAACTAGGCAATTTATTTCATGCGATGTACATTCATCAATATTTCAACAATCTCACTCGGAAAGGGGTGCAAGTAGCCCATTAACACTTCATGCCAGACTATTTACTATTGTTGCATTTTAAATTAATCATTACCTAGAAAGTTTAAATATCTTTTTCCCTCCAGGTTTTCTCGCAATTATCTTGATTGTGCAGCAATCAAGTAAAAACTGAATGGTGCTATTTAATTATCTCCTGATTATTTTTTTGAAAAATAATGAGAGCTTCTTCTGTGTCATTTGTAAATGCCTTGATATTTTGTAGCTGCAAAATTAAGCTGTCCATAAATGGATGATATTTGAGAATTCAGCAAGGTGTATGATTTGATGGCGGGGTTTTTAGGATGTTGCTGAATTGTTTACAAGGGTACAGGACCATGAAGAACAATATTCCACAGAAAATGGATATTATAATTTTGTGCTCAGTTCAGCAAGTTAGATCACAGGAGTTGGTAAATAAGCATGTCTTCATGTCTATGTGCTCTGTTTGAGTGCTCTGGCTTAAATCCAACTCCTAGTCCCTCCCTACCTGACAAGCCTCATTGAATCAACTGTTGACTGCCTAGTCAACATTTATGTAAATCCTAATATTATTTACTCAGTTATATTCCACTTTCCTCCAGTACTGGGATTCAAATTGTCTTAAAAACATTGGAACAAATAAGGTTTAAGACACTTACAGATACGGTGATGGTGTTAACAGGCTAGATGAAATTTAGTTGGCAACTCTTCAGGTTGTGCAGATAATAATAATAATAATTTATTTCTATATCACCCTATGTACCAAAAGGGACTCAGAGCAGTGTACAACAACAACAAAAAATCAGCAAACATTCAATGCCTATAACGCATAACATAATAAAGCGCTTCAAATAATAAGCAATCATACTGAGGACATCAGAATATAATTATAAAAACACTCAAATTAGCGGTGAGGGATTTAAATATACAAAATAAATACTCAGGACATATTTCTCTAATTTAAAACACATTTAAAACATCAAACAGCTAACAATAAGCCACCTGGACAAAGGTCAATCTTCATGAGCTGAGTCAGAATTTAAATAAAGTGCTAACCCTCCTCCTCCTCCCCGTATGTGTCACACACCAGGGCTGGGAAGGCACCTCTGAACCAGACCCATACTCCAGAATCCAATGAATAAGCAAAGCAGTTTATTGAAGATTAAATGTAGCTTCAGCAAAAAAATAAAATAAAACCAATTAAAATATAAAAATTGTCCATAAAAAACAGTCACTTAAAACTTGAAAGCAATAATCCAGAAGACCATGGCAGAGGCAAAGTCTTATAACTGGAACCTTGGTACACAGAACAATCCAGGGAATAAAAATACATGAAAAACATGACAAAGATCCAAAAGGTTACAAGAGTTTATGATTCCATTGACTTTCTGGGAGTATTGGGGTAATGATACAAAAGGTTTGCTAGGGTAGACCCTCTTTCACTCAACCCCCCCCCCCCCCCCCCCCCCCCATCAAAATCCTGGCTACGGGCCTGCCCTAAGATAATGCTTATATTGGATTAATGTAAGTTAAGAATTGTTTTAAAAGCCCATTAGGTTTAACTCTTGAGTGCCTGTGTTCCGCTGAATCCTGCTAATTATGTAAAATTTCTCAAATAGATGAGATTGGCATGGATAATAGGTTGAGTGTAAAATAACTAACAGTATAAGGTGTGCAAAAGGCTTTAGGAATTGCCTATATAATGACTTGGCAGACAATTTGGAAAACTAGATGATGAGAGAGAGCGCCTGATTATGATGATACTAGGATGACATTATATGTTAACTGAGTTAGAAGGCTGATGTTCTTATGTGCATTGCTTCTTGCCTCGCCTGCTAAAGCGCTGCATAGTAAGAGCTAAGATCCTTATGAATCTACTGATGGATATGATGTGATGGCTATATGGCTTTATAGAAGATTCCTCATTTTTTTCTTTCAAATCTTAAAAGAGTTCCAGGATATTTACATGGAAAGGAATGGACAGTTTTGGTATGATTTCATGCTATTTGGTATAAGAATTCATATAGATAGGCATGCACATACATTCATATTTCCTTCAGATATAGCAAAGTCTACTTCATTATATTCAGTTACATTATATATAAGGCATTTTAGTCCATTTCGTTGCATAAGAGAAACGGTGAAACAGGGCTGTGATGTCTTCTGGGAAATTCTGGATGATTAGTGCAATGGTGTCTGCTACCGGGACCTTGGTAAATAAATAGAGATCAGCTAGGTCTCATTGTCATGCTGTTGATACTTGACGCTAAATCTTGATCCTGTTTATTCAACTGGTCTTCTCAAGATGAGACTAACAATGAGAATTAGGCCTTTACATACCATGTAATTTGTTTTTTATACAAATATATACACACAATTCCAACACAAAAGTGTGTAGTCTGGCAGAGACAGGATGCCATTCTTTCTTTTCTATAGTTAAAATGTATCTGTTGCCTGTTTTGTCCTGGAACTTTTTTTATTCATTTGCTCCAGTGAATGCATAACAATGAAGTCTTAGGTTTTTGAAAAATAAAATAAATTTAAGACTGGATAAGACTGCACATATATATCTGTTATTACACTTAGTTATGGAAAAAGAAACATGGTGTGTTTCCAGGCATCAGGCAGCCGTGTATGTACACTTACAGTATGCCAATGTGTTACCCAAAATAAGGGTGTGAAGCTATTAAAAATACAGCTTTCATCATTCAATCTGTTGCAAAAATATAGTTTCATACACATCTGCGTGTAATGAGAACAGAACAGTAATACTGTATAAACTAGCAATAGGAGCCCCCGGTGGCGCAGTGGGTTAAACCCTTGTGCCGGCAGGACTGAAGACCGACAGGTCACAGGTTTGCGGGGAGAGGTAGATGAGCTCCCTCTATCAGCTCCAGCTCCTCATGCGGGGACATGAGAGAAACCCCCACAAGGATGAAAAACATCAAATCATCCGGGCGTCCCCTGGGCAACGTCCTTGCAGGGCCAATTCTCTCACACCAGAAGCGACTTGCAGTTTCTCAAGTCGTGTCAAGCCTGACACGGCAAAAACAAACAAAAAAAAAACTAGCAGTGGAGCTTGAATACATACCAGAAGCACATTGTTAGCCAGAGGAAAGGGCATGTATGTATACAGCAGTAGTTCCCACCCTTTTAAAAAAAAAACCAGGGACCACTTTGACCAAGGACCACTCTCCAACATTAATATGCATCAAGTTTTGGTCAACTTTAGATTTGGTTTGGTTATTTGGGGTGCTGATTCAGAAAATTGCATTGGAAAGACCACATCAGCCCTAGTTTCTGATACAGAACATATGCCATCCAGTAGTCACCATTTGCTCGTCTACAAAAAACTATATTTAATAATCTAGAGGTGATGTGGTAGTAATAATCTTTCGTGGGTAGTCAGCCTGTCCCCTCCCAACATCCCCATTGCCGTGGCAGTATAAGAGGATTTCGCGAGACAAGTTGCTTTCGTTGCTGTGTGGTTTCAAGGCAACAATAAGGTAATGGTGAGGCCATGGACCATATTTTCGTTCTTGTGGACCATTGATGGTTCATGGATCACAGGTTGGGAACCACTGGTAGAGAATATATTTAAAGCGGCAGGGCTACCAGGAGGTTTTTCCACTCCAGGGGCAACCAATATATCCCCCTAGCTCTGCAAGTCTTCCAAGCAAAGGCGATGTCACAACTACTCTATGGAGCACCCATTTGGTTAACCCCTGATAACAGTGCCATCAGATCTTTCCACTCGAAATGCCTCCACAAATTATTTGGTGTCCCAAACTGTGTCCTGTATGCAGTTCTATGTCTAGAATCTGGTCAATATTCTATAGAGGCCGCTATCTGGCTAAACATTATTAAATTTTGGTTATCTATCCACTACCAAAGGCCCAGCAACTCTCTGACCCAACTCACCTTGAGTGAACTCCACCACTCAAAATGGTGCTCTAGAGTTCTAGCAAAGATCGGGGAATTGGGCTATGATAGCGATTTCTTGAACTTGCTAACTTTCACCGAGATCTTTACCCTTATTAAAACGAGGCTGCTAGAAAGGGACTATAACCAATTGTTGAGCTTGGCCAATAAATCCTGTTCACCTATTAACATGGCAATTCCATTCATACAGGAAAACCCAGCCTTTTATATTGCAGAGCTCACTAACCCCTCTTACAGAAGAGCCTATGTGCTGGCTAGATTTAATATTATGCCATCTCCGCTCCATAGAGGAAGACTCAATGGTCTACCAAGCAATAAGAGGCTTTGTCCCTGTAGCACAGGACAGCTGGATTCCATCCCGCATATTCTTCTGCACTGCCCACTTTACCAGGATCTAAGATCTAGCTTACTACCACATGTTAGAGATTCCGTGAAAAACTACAAAGTAATTATTTTTTTAAATTGTCAAGATTTTAGCTGATGCCTTTCAGTGGCAAGATTCCTGAATGAAGTCTGAAAACTGAATGTGTAGCAAATGTGAAGTTCCTTTTTCTATTATTTGTACTGTATTTTATACCTCTTTGCTATGTAAATGCCAATAAAGGCTTATTGGATTGGATATTCAAAGGAAAAGAAATCTGGATAACTATTCTAATAATGCTAACTTTCTCCTCCTCCTCCTCCTTTCCCACCTCCCATCCTGACAAATCAGTTTTGGAAAATCTGTTCGATAGACAGTCTCTTAATCCGCCTTGAGATGGACTCGCGCCCCGTGTCGCGGCGCCTAGTAAGTCTCCTGTTCAGCTCCTTTTTCCCCACCAATCAGTCAGAAGAAGTCTGGTGCGAGCGCTGTGTTGCGTTGATCCAGATGAATCCGGCCGCAGCCAGGAAGTTCTATCAGTACGCGTACGAGAACACAACCCCAACCAACATAGGTAAAGGTCTAGAAAGCTGTGTCCATGTTGCTAGCTTAGGTCACAATAAATAATTTAAAATAAATTACAGAGCTTTGTTGTAAATGCCTGCGCACCTGGATTCTAAAATTCCAGTAAAGACAAGATCGGTGTGTGGCTAGAGAGGTCGTATTCTTGACTTGCATTATGCATGCGTATAAGCTTGTGTCTATTTGGCTTGCTTATTTTTAAATGCGAGTGGTACTTAAAACTTTCCCCAGTGCACAGTCTCTGAGTGATCCAGGGTGTTAACTCCAGCCACATTTAAATAATTCATGTGTCTTTTATTTTAGAATATGTAGACAATAGAGTGTATAAGTCTCTACCAATCAATTGAAAACATGAACAAGAAAGAAAGAAAAAACAGTGAATGGAATATTAAGCTCTGAGCAACATATTTTTTTACTGTTTTACTTTTTATTGTTTGTTTAAACTCAAAATTTACATTTAAATCTGTTCTTTAATGAGAGAAGCAGCCCCAAATGCTTAAACTACACTGTTGTTTACTTCCTACGCTGTTCCTGTTCTGATTAATCCTTTGCATTTGTACACTTTGTTCTTTAATTCTAGCTAAATTGATGCTTACCATTCAGAGGTGTTTGAACGCCTGCATCCAGCAGGGATTAAAGGCATCCGACAGCGGTGATGAAGACAGCGAAAAAGAAAACATGAGTGTAAGAATTCAGGAGTCTTCTAATATGAAAATGCTAAGTAATTCTATGGCGTCTGCACCGGACCTTTCTCTTGACATGTTCTTTTTGACAAGATGTAGGTGATGTATCGTCACCTTCATCAAGAATGTTTATGGACACTTTTAAGCATCAGGGAATTGAGGATTGTCTTGCTATGATGTCTGAAGGATTTGCCTAAATTACAGTTTAATCATGGGGTCAGTGATGAGTTTAATTGTTCGTACCATTGAAATGCCTAGAAAAAGTGCAGAAGTCAATAGCTAAGGTACAAATCCACATGCAATTTGGATGCTTGATCCAGTCCAGGGATTGCTCTTGTCTGGTATCCTTTGTAAAAATAATAATCATAAACTAATGTGGGATACTGCAATAAGGCACATTGTATTCCCTAGATATCTGTTTTTCTTTATCCCTTATTGGAAGAGTAGATTTGGGGAATTGCACTTACTTGTGCTTAGGTAAAGGTAAAGGTTTCCCCTGACATTAAGTCTAGTTATGTCCAACTCTGGGGGGTGGAGCTCATCTCCATTTCTAAACTGAAGAGCCAGCATTGTCCGTAGACGCCTCCAAAGTCATGTGGCCAGCATGACTGCATGGAGCTCCGTTACCTTCCCACCGAAGCGGCACCTATTGATTTACTCACATTAAGGAGCTGGGCATGTTTAGTCTGAAGAACAGAAGGCTGAGAGGAGATATGATAGCCATGTCATATGAAGAACTTCCTGACTGTGAGGAGCCATACAGCAGTGGAACTCTCTGCCCCGGAGTGTGGTGGAGGCTCCTTCTTTGGAGGTTTTTAAACAGAGGCTAGATGGCCATCTGTCAGGGGTACTTTGAATGCAGTATTCCTGCTTCTTGGCAGGGGGTTGGACTAGATGGCCCATGAGGTCTCTTCCAACTCTATGATTCTATGATTTGCATGTTTTTGAAATGCTAGGTTGGCAGAAGCTGGGTCTAACAGCAGGAGCTCACCCCACTCCCTGGATTCAAACCGCCAACCTTTCAGTCAGCAAGTTCAGCAGCTCAGCGGTTTAACCCTCTGCACCACCAGGAGGCCCAAGTAATTACATACTGTTGTTCGAATATTTACATTTCAGATTTCGGATAATGTGTTATCCATCGATGATGTGCCTTCTATGGCTGGCTTGCTCGAAGTCGTCGTGATTCTCTGGAGAAGTATTCGCAAAGCGCTTGATAGTAACGAAGGTGGAAAAAATCATATTGTTCAAAAATTTGCATCGGTACTTCCAGAATATTTAAAGATATTTAAGGTACATCCCCTGCCAAATACCTTTAAAATTATTAAGGTTGGTTGAAAGCACAGATTTTAATTTACTCTTGGGATGACTCTTTACTGGCCAGTAAGTCTGGCGTTCAATTGGAGCAGAATAAAGAAAAAGAAGCAATATAAATAAGTCACCTCTGCCAATAATAATAATAATAATAATAATAATAATACAATAAACTTTATTTGTACCCTGCTACCATCTCTCCAAGGGACTCGGTGCGGCTTACATGAGGCCAAGCCCACAGCAGACAACACACATTTTGTCAGGATTTATTGAGGTATATTGTGTGTTTTAAATGTAATTCTTGTATTGCCATATGGATGCCACTTTAGAGTGTAATGCTAAGCTGAAATGTTTATGTTGAGGCTGTGATTGAGTGACCTTAAGATAAACTCTCGGCTGCTGAGAAAATTTAGGGAGTTAACCGTTTTGAGCAGAAGAGCTCAGCAGCTGCAAAAATTGAGTATTCCTTGTAACCTGACGTCTCCAGAGTCCATGATTTTACAGAGATGTATCTGGTGTATCTAGCATTTGCTTCTGTCAAGTTGCGCCTTAGCTTGACAAACAAAACATCAATAAACACAACATCAATAAACAATCAATAAAATACAAATCATATATATATATATTTTCCCCACGTGGTCACTGCGATTTACACATATGGTATAATCCGGCGCTCGCGCCGGCAGCAACGGAAGGTTCACGAGACTATTAGACAGTTGGAGCAGCCCCTCCCGCCCCTCTCCCCTCTATAAATAGCCCTCAGGAGGGGCTGCGGCCAGTTCTTTAAATCCGCGCTAAAAGCAGTAACGGAAAGGGAAAGAGACGTTAAAACTACAATAATGACTACCTCTTTCAAGAAATGTGTGTCGTGTCCGAATAAATATCCGGATAACGATGCACACATTAATTGTCTTGTTTGCCTGGGAGAAGAACATCTCTCCCAGGCGTGTGAAATTTGTAGAGCTTTCACGCCGCAAACGAGAAAAAAGAGAGCTACGTTTAAAAGCGGCGCTGTATGAGCAAGCTCTACTACCTCCAAAAATAATGGAGGATACGACAGAAGATTGATCCACTACTTATTAAAAAGAAAATAATCAAAATTAAGAAGATAAAGCCAAATAAGCCCTCGGAGAGAGGTGAAGCGGCTCAAAATACTCAAAAGAAAGCTAAGCCGCAAAACCCCTCTAAGGAGGGAGAAAATGGCTTGCAGAGCCAACCGCCAAATAAAATGGCGCCTTCGGCTCACAATGAAGAAACAATATCTAAAACTGAAGGATCGGCTCCTCAATTACCTGCTGAGGCATCCCCAAAAGATCTTGCAGCAGCTATAGAGGCTGTTTCAGAAGCCTTGGTATCTCCGCCGAACCTAAATCACGATACCGTGGGGTCGGTATCGGGAGCGCCTTCCTCACCAATAGGGCTCTTAGAAATGAGCCCAAGACGCGCTCGGGATCGAGCGCCTTCACGAAAGATGGCGGAGAGCGGAGGACGCCGGCGTCGAAGCCGCTCAGCGTCGAAGTTCGCAAGCTCCGCCTCAGACTCCTCCCCTTTAAGGAAGCGAAACGGAGAAGGGAGAGCTCAAGGAAACAAAAGGAGCGCTTCTCATTTATCAAGAAGGCAGGATCGACAGTGCCTGCCTCCTTCCCCTTCTAAAGATCAAGAAAGCCAGCGCCAAGGAGGCACTAGTCAAGGAAGCCAATACCAGCCTCCGCTTTCTTTTATGCCCTATGGAGGCATGAGCCAGGGAGTCCAATGCCAACCTCCTCCTCTTCCATTCATAAACCAAGGAGGTATGGCCCAAGGAGGACAGTGCCAATTCCCTCCTATATATATGAACCAAGGGGGCATGAACCAGGGAGGGCAATGCCCACCCCCCCTCCCCTTTATGAACCAAGGGGGTTTCTGGCAAATGGCCCCAAATGGCCAGATGTTTTACTATGGAGCGCCAATGCCCACACAATGGCCCTCAACCAGTACCAATGCGAATAATGCAGCCAATAGTGACTCTGTGCAAGGAAGAAAAACACATTCAGAAAAAAGAAAGCGAACACATACTCAAGTCCGTGAACCAATAGATTCACAGGACCTATTATCACCAGTCCTGCATACTGAGATACCACACATAGATGAATCTCAAACCTCTGATGAGGATATGATTAGTCAAGAAAATTATAGAGAAACAGAGCAGGATCCCATGAATGAAGATTACACTAAGTTTGCATCATTAATAACTAGAATGATCCGCGTGCTTGACCTTCCAACTCCTAAACAGCCAGAGTCTGTGGAAGATCCTATGTTTCCTGCGGAACAACAGGAATCTAATGTTTCAACCGCTCTTCCAGCATTGCCATATCTGCTGAAACTTACTAAGACAATTGAAGGTTCTCCTTCTTTGACCCCTGCAATTCCGAGAAGAGTGGATAATCTTTATAAGATTGATGTGTCCTCTGCGAATTGGATAGCAAGACCTCCTATACCTAACACGGTCATAGCTGAGGTTGCACATGGGCAAAAAGGCAAGAAATTAAACCCTACTCCTTCAGATAAAGAAGGAAAGAAAATAGATGCTATGGGAAAGAAGGCCCACATGGCTGCTGGACTCTTTACTAGGATGGCTCATTACGCCACGTACATGAGCGCATACCAGACTTTCCTATGGAATAAAGTGCATCCATATATGGATTACATCCCAGAAAATGAACAACGCTTGCCGCGGGCATTCTACACTGAGGCTATACTGCTAGCAAAGTTCCAAAAAGACTTTGCTAAACATATGGCAGAAACAGCAGGGAAGATCTTCAGCAATGCAACATCAATAAGGCGGCATGCATGGCTTCGTGCGTCGGCACTATCAGAAGAGGGATGCTCTCTCGCCGAGCACCTACCTTTGCACGTAGAAGGCCTTTTTCATCCCACGACAGATGAAAAGCTGAAGCATAATCAGGAGATGAAAAAAACCATGCAGATTTATGGGTTTCCACACCAGCAAAAACCTCGATGGCAGACATCTCCTTCGTATTTTAGAAGAAGTGCTGGTAATTTTTATGGAGGCCAACAACGTCAACGTGCACCTCAGAATAATAAGCCATACGTCCCACGAAAGCAGTCTTATGGGTCAAGGAATAGGTTTCAGCCGTATCAGGGTAAACCCAGCCGCCCAGGAGGAAACAAACAGCGTTTTTGACATTCCCTCTACAGGCAATGAATCATCTGATTTGCCTGATCCAGTTTCTTCCACATCGATACAAGATTGTACTCTTCATGTTTATAGAAGCTTAAACATTGTTGATTCAGAGTTACCTTTTTTTGGAGCATGTTTAGCTCCCTTTTATGATGTATGGTCAGGTATTACTACTGACACATGGGTACTTCAAATTGTTAAAAATGGTTATTTGATTGAGTTTGATAGTTTGCCACCAGTGGGCCATGTTAGAGCCACATCTCCTTCTCCTGCACTTTTAGAGGAGATTAAGATTTTGCTCTCTAAGGGAGCAATATGTCCGATACCACCATCTTCATATGGACAATGTTTTTTCTCGAGATACTTTTTGATTTCTAAAAAAGGAGGTGGCCTACGCCCAATACTAGATCTACGGGGGGTAAACAAATTTATAAATACTAAGAAATTTCGCATGGTTTCACTTAAAACTATTCTTCCTTTGTTAAATAAAAATGTTTGGTTTGCAACGATAGATTTGAAGGACGCTTATTTTCACGTTTCAATTTATGTGCACCACCGTAGATTCCTAGCCTTTATGGTCGGAAATCAGGCCTTCCATTTCAACGTTTTACCATTTGGTTTAGCGACCGCACCAAGGGTCTTTACTAAATGCATGTCCACAGTGGCGGCTTACCTCCGCACAGCTGGTATAACGGTATATCTGTATATTGATGATTGGTTGATTGTAGCACATTCAAGACAACTATTACTCTCACATATCGACAAAACTTTATTTCTTCTCCAGTCCCTAGGTCTGATAGTGAACTGGGAAAAGTCCAATCTCATTCCTTCAAGAAGAATGCAGTTCATTGGAGCACTTTTGGATTCGGAGACTCAAAAGGCGTACCTGCCCGACGAGCGTTTCAAGAAGTTGCAGGATCATATACTACAGGCGACAAGAAGAGACGTCGTAAGGGCCAGACAGATACAAGTAATATTAGGACACAGGGCGTCAACTACTGCGGTGACTAGTCATGCGAGGCTGCATTTCAGACCCCTACAGTCTTGGTTCCTGTCGGTCTTCGACCCGTTGTTACACAGATCCAATATGCGCCTGTCTTTGCCTATGCAACAACGCAAACACCTGTTATGGTGGGCGGAACGCCGCAATGTTTGTACTGGCCTTCCTTTTCATCAGCCCAGGCCTTCCAAGATTCTGACCACGGACTCCTCACTCATGGGATGGGGAGCGCATGTAGATGGACTGACAGCCCAAGGGTCATGGACATCTGTAGAGGCGACATATCATATAAATCTGTTAGAGTTACTAGCAGTAGAGAAGTCATTCGAACCGGTCCTAAGACATCAGGTGGTCCAATTGGTGACGGACAATACAACAGTAATGTATTACATAAACAAGCAGGGAGGAACTCACTCAAAAGGATTGCTAGAAATAACACTCAGACTGTGGAATTGGTGCATAGACAAGGGCATTTTCCTTATGGCAATACATCTGCCAGGAGAGCAAAATGTGCTAGCGGATTTCTTGAGCAGGAATCCTCTCACTCACCACGAGTGGACTTTGAACAGACAAGTTGCAGCCCTACTTTTTCGGGCTTGGGGAGAACCGGAGATAGATCTTTTTGCCTCGGCACAGAACACTCAGTGTCGACTGTTTTGCGCCCGGGACTACAGAAATTCGATGACCAATTGTCTAGGCGACGCATTTCTTTTGCATTGGGGGGAGCGGATTGTGTATGCGTTCCCCCTGTTTCCTCTCATTCATCGGGTGGTGTCGAAACTAGTCCAGGACCAAGCACAAGGGATACTGGTCACCCCATGGTGGCCGAGACAGCCATGGTTTTCCCTGGTTCTGGAAATGTCCAAAAGAATATTCAAGCCACTACCTCAAAGGGAGGACTTGCTGACGGAACGGGACAGGCAGGTTCTATACTCGGATGTCCAGAAGCTGAAATTGACGGCGTGGCGCATATTTCCAGTCCTGTCAGACTTATTATAGAAGCTGCCCAGAGACAATCCACAAAAAGATCCTATATTTACAAATGGTCTAGGTTCTCAAAGTTTGCTTTGATTAAAGGGGTGGATCCCGTGAAAGCGCCAACTTCCCTAATATTAGATTTCTTGGCTCACTTAGTTGATTTGGGTTTGTCCTGGTCCTCTTTAAAATGTTATTTGGCAGCCCTTTCTTGGTTTAGACGGAAAGTAGGTATGCCATCGTGTTTTAGTGACCCGATGGTATCCCTGTTCATGAAAGGTTTGAAGAATCTGAAACCTCCGGTAGCGCCAATTGCCCCATCTTGGAGCTTGGAACTAGTGCTTACGGCTTTATCCAAGCCTCCATTTGAACCGTTAGCAACAGTGGACATGGCATATTTATCCTGGAAAACAGCATTTTTAGTTGCTATTACTTCAGCCCGTAGAGCAGGGGAATTGTGTGCCCTGAGGTGTGATGAACCCTACATGAGGATTCATAAGGATAAGGTAGTTATAGAACTGATATATCCTTCCTTCCAAAAGCGGCGAGTAAATTCCATACGTCGCAAGAAATTATACTACCAGCTTTTTTCCAGAATCCAACCACTTCTTTAGAGAGGAAGCTACATTTGTTAGATGTGCGTAGGGCTCTTGTGTATTATGTTGATAGAACTAAGGCTTGCCGGAAATCCACAAGGTTATTCCTGAGGTATAGGAAGGATTCCATGGGCTTTCCTGTATCCTCGCAGAGGTTTGCATCTTGGATTGTTTCTACTATAAGACTTGCATATCAGATGTGTAGGAAAGACTTACCTTTGCAGGTTAAAGCACATTCTACAAGAGCAGTAGCCACCTCGACGGCGTTTCTTAGAGGTGTTCCACTTGAGACAATCTGCAGAGCAGCCACCTGGTCCAGACCGACTACCTTTGTGAAGCATTACAAGTTGGATGTAACGTCAAAGGCAGATGCAGCTTTTGGCAGGGCGGTGCTTTTTTCAGCTGTGGCATGACGCCCTCCGTCCAAGGTTAGCAGCTCGCTAGTCTACCATATGTGTAAATCGCAGTGACCACGTGGGGAAAATATAGGTTGCTTACCTGTAAACATAGTTTCCCTAGTGGTCACCTGCGAATTTACACAACCCGCCCATCCTCCCCTCTACATTTAGTCGTCATGCCCAGCTCTTCTATATAGCTATTTAGCGACGGAAGAACTGGCCGCAGGGCTATTTATAGAGGGGAGAGGGGCGGGAGGGGCTGCTCCAACTGTCTAATAGTCTCGTGAACCTTCCCTTGCTGCCGCGAGCGCCGGATTATACCATATGTGTAAATTCGCAGGTGACCACTAGGGAAACTATGTTTACAGGTAAGCAACCTATATATATATATATATATATATATATATATGAAAAGTTGTGTATTCATCCAACTTCCTATAAGACAGGGACGGAGAGCCATTACTTAGTCTTCGCCTTGGTGTTGTGGTTACTTACTTAGGCAATCCCTCATAGTCCGAGGATAATGGTCCTCCAAGTGTAGTGTCTTGATGGTAGGTCCGTAGGTGGCTGTGGAGCCATATTCTTGATTCGCAGTGAGGACATTGGTTTCCAGGTGGAAGGCGGTCCTGGTCAGAGTTGGTTTGACGCACCTCCCTTTCACCTTCTATTCGTGCCTCTGAATTCTCCAGCACTGCTGGTCACAGCTGACCTCCAGCTAGAGCGCTCAAAGACCAGGGCTTCCCAGTTCTCAGTGTCTATGCCACAGTCTTATGGTTATTCTTTATATATATCCCTCATTTCCCCTAGTATTAGAACTTTTTTTGCAAAATGGTTGTGTTAATACATTTCTTCTCGTTTCAACCTAGGATGAACGTTGTACAGCACCCATAATTATTATAGCATCTTTCATGACGCCTGCAAGTATTCCTACATTCAGGTATTTATTTATTTTGGGGGGGGGGTGGGGTGGGTGGAAATAAAATGGTGGATAGACACTCTTTACTCCTGATTGTATATGTTTAACTCTAACAAAAATGTACATATGTCCATCAACAAGGTATTGAAAAGTTCTATAAATAATTGACATGTGAGTTTGTTTAAATAAGATAACACATCAATTTTTTGTCGGGGTTGTTTTTTCAGTTGCGGTGTAATCTCTAAACTGAAGAATCTGGAAAATGGTACAACTGAAAATAAATACTCTCCCCTGCTTGACTGTCTGTGCCGTTGGGGAAAAGTTGGCCACGTTCTTGAATTAATCTGTGATTGGTTGGCTGCTGAGCCAAGCAGGAGAGAGGTAGGACTTTATTTATTTACGCCATTTATATGCCTCCCTTCTCACCCCAAAGGGGACTCAGAGCAGCTTACAAGGTTGTTGTTATATATATATATATATATATATATATATATATATATCATACAATATATAATATAATATATACATACAATATAATATATTATTAGCATAGTACAATATCAGTATTAAATATTACTATATTGTACTATACCATTATATTGTAATATTATTAGTAATATTACATGTAATATAAATATATAATTATAATATATTATTAGTAGTATTATATTGCATTACATTATAATATTATAAATATATGTATATATATTATATTATATTATATTATTAGAATAGCACAGGAGACAAGGTGGAACTGTAGTGACATCTTATACTGTTTTTAAAAATGAGATTTTCCCCCTCCAATTTTTAGAGTAACGGGGTATCTGAACGGCGAGTACGTATCCAAGAAACACATGAATCGAAACCAGAATTGGCACTTGATTATATAGAGTATTTGCTGACGCATTATATGAATCGGAATTGTCTGTTGTCATTGCCCAAAGAGAAGCTGAACCAACTTCTGAAAGTTCTTGAAGCTGCAAAAGTAAGCCCTCATTTCTTCATGATCTTGTACAGTACTCTGAATTAATTGTCTTAAAAGGATTTCCCCAAAATGTAATTGCCAAATAATTCCTTAATTCAGATTATTCTAATGTTGCAAGGACTTTCCTTTTTCACTAACTGATATTATGGATCAAATTGTACAAAAGATGATTTTCATGCAAAATGCAAAAATGGGAATATAGAACTCTGTCAATTCAGATAACTTTGTCTGCTAAAAAGGTAAATGCATCAAGCATTTACCGTAATAATCCTTTTGTTATTTTGCATGGTGCCAGTCAAGAATATCACTTGGGCGTCTGAATTCAGGTTCACATTTCTGACATTTAAATACAGTAAACTCCATAATTTCCTTTTTCCTTGTCAGTAGCAATTTGAGAAACTTCAAGTCACTTCTGGTGTGCGAGAATTGGCCGTCTGCAAGGACATTGTTCAGGGGATGCCCGGATGTTTTACCATTCCCTTGGCCATCAGCTAGGATTCTGCTTCACTTTATACACTTCCCCATTGCTATGATATTCTGTTGCCCTTGCCCAGCCCTTTCATAGCTGACCGTGTCCACTTTGTAATTCTGGCCATTGGTATTTTGAATTCCGTTTGATGGAGTAAAATTGAAACTAGTTTTTAAATTTTTGTGACTGTTTTAATAGGATTTATGTTTAAGTTCTCCAATATTTAATTTTGTTGTATGATTTTTCTTACGGCAATTGAATGTTTTGCCTTATGTCCTCTTGGGGAGATAAAGTTTTATTATTATCCTGTGGGAGGCTTTTCTCATGTCCCTGCATGAGAAGCTGGAGCTGACAGACAGGAGCTCACCCCACTCCCTGGATTCAAACCACCGACCTTTCAGTCTACAACCCTGCTTGCATAAGGGCTTAACACATTGTGCCATCTGGGTCTCCAAGATAAACACAATTTAAAAGTCAAGATGTGCTGCCTAGTAATTAAGTATTTTAGTAATTCTAAAATTACTAATTCTAAAATTACCGCTGCACCACTCCCCGGTGGTGCAGTAGGTTAAACCACTGAGCTGCTGAACTTGCTGACCGAAAGGCTGGCAGTTCGAATCCGGGGAGTGGGGTGAGCCCCCACTGTTAGCCCCAGCTTCTGCCAACCTAGCAGTTTGAAAACATGCAAATGTGACTAGATCAATAGGTACCAGTTCTGCGGGAAGGTAACAGCGCTCCATGCAGTCATGCTGGCCACATGATCTTGGAAGTGTCTGCGGACAATGCCAGCGCTTCGTCCTAGAAATGGAGATGAGCACCAACCCCCAGAGTCGGACATGACTAGACTTAATGTCAGGGGAAAACCTTTACCTTTTATCTTACATGTAATCATTTTGCACCTCTTACATCAGTACTGGTGTTGAAATATTTAACATTTGATGCAACTCCCATTTTGATCCAGTATAGCTCTTAACTGTATGAACTGAATTAACTGAATGAATTCAATGCTTAATTGTTTGAACTGAATACTTGAAGAACTTCAGAATATCGTAACTTCAGAATAGCATAAACTGTTCTGGCCCAATTTACCTGTCTGAACACATCTCCCCTTATGAACCATCTAGAACTTTAAGATTGTCCGGGGAGGCCCTGCTCTCTATCCCGCCCTCATCACAAGTACGTTTGGCGGGAACGAGAGACAGGGCCTTCTCTGTGGTGGCCCCTCGGCTATGGAACACCCTCCCTAAGGAGATTAAATCGGCTCCCTCACTCTTAACATTTTGGAGACAAGTTATAACATGGTTATATGAGCAAGCGTTTACAAATGCAGGGTAACTAACATAGGAAATGGAATCACTCGACAATGAAACTTGGACAACATTATTTAACTAGGAGATGCTGATGATAATGATGTTGGTTTTTATTGTTTTTATTGCTTCTATTGTGGGTTTTATACTGTTTTGTTGTTATGTGTACAGACTTGTTGTAAACCACCTTGAGTTGCCGATAAGGCTGAGAAAGGCGGTACACAAGTATAGTCAATAAACAAACAAATAAATAAATATATTTAATACCTTAGATCTAATATACGAATGGGGATTTCTCCGAACGTATTCTCCCCTATGAACCATCAAGATTACTAAGATCTTCTGGAGGGGCCCTGCTCTCGGTCCCACCGGCCTCACAAGCGTGGCTGGTGGGGACGAGGGACAGGGCCTTCTCGGTGGTGGCCCTGCGACTCTGGAACTCTCTCCCGCCTGAGGTCAGAACCGCCCCAACAATCCTGACATTCAGGAAACAGGTGAAGTCATGGTTGTGGAGACAGGCTTTTGAAGAATGAGACAACGTTCTGGATGGAAGACGGTCTATATTCGATTTTAGTATGACGACTGACCACTGTAGTTTTTAAATTTATGTGCTTTTCCAGTGTTTTATTGTAATTATGTACTTTGATATTTTACCAATTGTATGTGTTTTTATGGTTGGAAACCAGGCTGAGTCCCTCGAATGAGGTGAGAAGCTCAGTATATAAAGCTTTGAAATAAATAAATAAATAAATTTCATGTCTTCTGAAGTGGAAAAAAGTTTGCACCGTCTTATCCAACATCTGTGTTGCCTACTCATATTGTTTCTTTGTAATGTTATCTAATTTTTTATATAATTTTTGAAATTTCAGGATGACCTGGAGTCTTATATTCGAGAAAGTGATGCAAGGTCTCCCGGCTTTTGCAAACCAACTGCATTGAGAGCCTTTGGCCTATACTGTAGGTTGAACATACATCTTCAATACAAGGTATGGTAATTTTAGGAGTTAGAAAAGCAGAAATGCTTTTCGTTACAACTGGCACGACCATGATGCCTCTGCTTCTTCTGCTTTAACAGTTTGCCTCGGATGGTCAGGATTACCTGTCAGCTTTGGAGGAAACAGGAGCATGGGTAGGAAATAGCATTCTGCCCACTCTTTTAAGAGACAAGGAAGAAGGAAAACACTTCAGTGAAATCTCTCAGCTCGTGGTCCAGGTAATGGGTGGCTGTGAAGGAAGTGCACTCCACGTTTCGTAATTTCTGAGCATGCGAACTAACACTGGCTCAGTCTACACCAGGCATGGGCAAACATGGGCCCTCCAGGTGTTTTGGACTTCAGCTCCCACAATTCCTAAAAGCCGATAGGCTGTTAGGAATTGTGGGAGCTGAAGTCCAAAACACCTGGAGGGCCCAAGTTTGCCCATGCCTGGTATAGCTTCTGATGGCACCCAAGCCAATACTATTGCATATGCGATTTTGTGTTCGAAATTGCTATTTCAGCTGGATTTTAGGATTGTTTTTAGATCAGGGGAGCATTTGCACAGTTAAAACTTGTGTGCCAGTTGCACCCGTACCTTGGGAAGTCTGACTTGGCCACAGTAGTCCACACTCAGGTTACATCCTGTATAGACTACTGCAACACGCTCTACATGGGGCTGCCCTTGAAGACAGTCCTGAAGTTTCAACTAGTCCAACGAACAGCAGCCAGGTTGCTAACAGGGAGCATACAACCCCCTTGCTGTGCCAGCTCCACTGGCTGCCAGTCTGCTACCGGGCCCAATTCAAATTGCTGGCTTTGGCCTATAAAGCCCTAAACAGTTTTGGCCCAGCTTACCTGTCTGAACGTATTTACTTATTTATTTTTATTTACAGTATTTATATACCGCTTTTCTCACCCTGAGGGGGACTCAAAGCGGTTTGCACATAAGTAATGGCAAAAATTCAATGCCAATACAATTACAAGTATACACTACAATTAGACATAAATTAAATTTAAAATATACATCCATGAGCAATAAAACAATCATTAAAACAATAAAACAGTCTCGTCCGTTGAATCGCCGTTCCAGTCATTGTCTTTCTGAAATGCTGCATACATTTACTTCTACTGCCCGAAGGCCTGGTCCCAAAATCATGATTTTAATTTTTTTTCTAAAAGCCAGAAGGGAGGGAGCGGATCTTAGCTCACTTGGGAGTGTGTTCCATAGGTGGGGGGCCACAGCCAAGAAGGCCCTGTCTCTCATCCCCACCAGGCGCATCTGTGCTGTTGACGGGAGCAAGAGCAGGGCCTCCCCGGATGAGAAAAGTATCTCCCCTTACAAACCATCCAGGACTTTAAGATCGTCTGGGGAGGCCCTGCTCTCAGTCCCGCCTTTGTCACAAGTGCTTTTGGCAGGGACGAGAGACAGGGCCTTTTCAGTGGTGGCCCCTCAGCTATGTAACACCCTCCCTAGGGAGATCAGATCTGCTCCTTCGCTCTTAACGTTTCGTAGGCAAGTAAAAACATGGCTTTTCGAGCAAGCGTTTACAAACGCAGAGTAGCTAATATAGGAAACCGAATGACTTGACAATGGAACTGGACAAAGCTTGATAATAAGGAGATGCTAATGATGATGTTGTTTTTATTGCTCTTGTGGTGTTTTATACTGTTTAATGTTTAAATTTATATTATGTTTTATGTGTACTGATTTGTTGGAAACTGCCTTGAGTCACCGATTGGCTGAGAAAGGCAGTATACAAATACAGTAAATAAATAAATAGACTGGGTTGTTGTAGGTTTTTCCGGGCTATATGGCCATGTTCTAGAGGCATTTTCTTCTGACTTTCACCTGCATCTATGGCAAGCATCTTCAGAGTGAGCTACCTCTGAGGATGCTTGCCATAGATGCAGGCGAAACGTCAGGAGAAAATGCCTCTAGAATATGGCCATATAGCCCGGAAAAACCTACAACAACCCAGTGATTCCAGCCATGAAAGCCTTCGACAATACAAATAAATAGACTACTTTTTAAGAGTTTTTAAAGAGAAATTTGGTATGTTTTGAAAATGTTTAGCTCTGTTTTGTTTTCACTGGTTTTTCTTTGAGTCCTTGTCGGAGGCAATACAGACGTACTTTAAATATATGATAAATAGTTTAGAGCAGTCTGAAACTTGGCTTGGCATCCAGACACAGAGGCAACTCAAAGATTAGATTTGCTTGTTCACATTTAGTTTTCTCTCTGTTTAGAAATCCATTAATTTAGAAGTACTTGTCTGCCTTTTATTTTATTACATGATTATAAAAGTATTGCCCTTCTTTCAAGAGGCTGAAGATTGTGTCCTTTTTCTTTTTTTTTTCCCTTCGCATCATCTGCTCAGCAATTCCGGGCAGTTGCTAAAGGGAACTTAAGAGATAAGGAATCAATCATAAATAAAGCCATCACCAAAATGTGGTTTGCAAAATCTCCTTAAAACCACGAGACTTATTTTATTATATTCTGTTCTGCATACTGATAGTTGAACCACGATAATATCAATTCGGAAAAGATGCCAAATAATAGCAAAGCTTCTAAATGCTATGAAATGACCATGAAATAAATGCCTGACATGCAGGATGCAATGGAGAGTTTTCATTGGAATCATGAGAGATTGTCTGGGAATGCTTAAATATCCATGAGGTGGAGCAGAATGTTTTTTTTGTTTGGCCCAAGACAGGGTTACAAACATTGCAAAAAAATTGAAACAGCTTTCAGCTAAACCAGTGGTTCCCAACCTGTGGTCCGTGGACCACCAGTGGTTTCCAAGAACTAAAATATGGTCCATGTCCTCACTGTTACTACACCGTTGCAATGAAAGCGAATGGTCTCGTTACACCCTCTTATAGTGCTAAAGTAATGGATGTCAGGAGGGGAGAGGCTGACTACCCTCAAAAGGCACAACAGCAAACCTCCTGACTGCTGCTTCTCCTCCTCCCTCCCTGCCCCAGAGTGGAGCTGTTCCATGTGGCACCTGGAAGCGCCTTGGTGTCTTCACTTTTAGGCCTGTTCCTGGAGTTATTTGGGGTGCTGATTCAGAAAATTGCATTGGATAGACCACATCAGCTCTAGATTATTAATTATAGTTCCCTGTGGGTGAGCAGATGGCAACTACTGGATGGCATTCATTCTGTATCAGAAATTGGAACTTGAAAACTGGAAATGTGGAGTTTTAAAAAATATCTAAGCATCATGCTAAATTTTCTGTTATTTCTATGTAGACATATCTGACAGTGTGCAAAGATATGATTGCTGTTGGTCTTGGTGATTCCGAGTTTCAAGAACGCATTCTGACCATGGGGGCCATGCTTCTAGATGGAGGTATGCTCTTTATAATGCATAATCCCCATAGTGACTTAGGGAAAGAATTGGGACAAAAGTTTGTGATTAAATAAGCTTTGTGTTTGTGAGCTGTAGTAAAGATCACTTGATTTATACAGTAGTCATTGGAACATCAGTACACTATTAATGAATAGTAACTTCTGTATGGTAAATAAAATGTAAAGGTTTCCACTTGATATATTAAGTCTATCATGTCTGACTCTGCCTGGTGGTGCTTGTGAAAGTATCCCACTTCGCTGACACCAATTTGTAACAGGATGACCGTTTTAATGCCACCGAATGCCACCAATTTGTAATAGAGTGTCCCACTTCGCCAATTTGCAACGGGATTTGTTTTACTGTAATTAGCAACACTGGCCAATCTGCGAAGGTATTCCACCTACTACTGTTTAAATCTCCTAAGGTTTGCTAATTTATAAAAGGTGTGGATAATTATATATGTAATTCAGGTAACTGCCACCAGCGGGAGGTAATGCCAATAAGAACTGGTTCCCCAGACGCAGAAATATGGAGATGACACTGTCTTCAAACAAAAGTTATTAACTGAACCACCTCAAGTGGGCTCTACAGGCCAATGGATGTTCCACCTCAGACATCAGAAGAGCTGCAAGACCAAGAACAAGCCACGAGAGTAAAGATGAAGATCCACCCAGAGGAAAAGTGTTCCTGCCATACATCAAGGGAACCACTGACCGCATAGGGAAGCTGATGAGGAAACATAACATACAAACAATCTACAAACCCACCAAGAAAATCCAACAAATGCTACGTTCAGCAAAGGACAAGAGGGATCCTCTCACCTCTGCAGGAGTCTACCGTATACCATGCAGCTGTGCACAAGTCTACATAGGGACCACCAAACGCAGCATTGCCCAAACACGAATCAAGGAACATGAAAGGCACTGCAGACTACTTCAACCAGAGAATTTAGCCATAGCAGAGCACCTGATGAACCAGCCTGGACACAGCATATTATTTGTGTACCCAGAAATGCTGGACCCTCTCACAACCACCATGTCAGACTACACAGAGAAGCCATTGAAATCCACACATGTGGACAATTTCAACAGAAAGGAAGAAACCATGAAAATGAACAAAATCTGGCTACCAGTATTAAAAAATTCTAAAATTGCAACAGCAAAAACAGCAGAGAGAAAAACAGGCAGGGACATCTAATCACCTTTCAAGAAGAGTTTGCTCCAGGCACAGTCAGCCCATTGTATTCTAATCAAGGTGGTCAGTTGAAAGATTCACACCTAGCCCAACTTACAAAAGCCCTTTGTCTCACCCTGGTCATTCCACAGATATATAAACCCCTTTTTTCCCAGTTCCAGCAGACCTCACCTCTGAGGATGCTTGCCATAGATGCAGGGGAAACGTCAGGAGAAATGCCTCTAGAACATGGCCATATAGCCCGAAAAAACCCACAAGAACTGAAAAGTTATTAAGTTTATTTTGAACAAAGCGTATGGTTGCAGGCTGTTGGTTTACTTGGAATAACTTAGAGTACTTGTAGAACTTTAAATGTAACTTGGTTTGCAATACAGATCACACTTCTGTATAACATAACTTGTATTTGACTTTTACTGTATTGAAGCACTTTCTTAAATAATGTTTCCTGAGGTGAATAGCCTTCCTGTTTGATCCTTTCTTGATCAAACCTTAGATCTCTAGTTCTTTCCTAACTAGTGATCTAAACAAGCTTCCCTTAGTCTTCTCTGACTAATGAAACTAATCAGGTTTCCCCCTTCAACCTTCCTAGATTGAAGAAACCTCTGGCTGTTCACACACACTGCTTCTCCACTTCCCTCTCTCCTCTCTCGACTGCTCACTCCAAACTCCAAACCCTAACTAACTGCTTCTTTTCAAAACGCAGATAGATTTCTCTCGCTAGGCTCCGCTCACTTTCCACTCTCTCCTGCCTGGTCTCCTTGGCAACGCCACAATGGATACAACCAGTTATCTCTAGTCTTCAGCTACTGTTGCCAAACAAATAGTTAAACAGTTCAAATACATATACTTAGTTTCAACAACTTCCTTACATGCTCATCTCCATTTCTAAGCGGAAGAGCCGGTGTTTTCCGTAGACATTTCTAAGGTCATGTGGCCGGCATAACTGCATGGAGCACCTATTGATCTACTCACATTTGCATGTTTTCAAACTGCTAGGTTAGCAGAAGTATGGCAAATAAACGACAAATATTGTTTAACAGTATTATTGATAACATTTAGGGGTAGTGTTTACGTTCAAAACAGCAACATTGATACAAGATGAAATTACATATTTATTGTAACACTAGCTGTCCCCTGCCATGCATTGCTGTGGCCCAGTCTGTGTATATGTGTTTTGTATGTGTATATGTGTCTGTATATATATTTGTGTATATGTGTATATATGAGTGTTTGTATATATATGTGTGGTTTTGAGCATGCGTTGTAATGTATTTTTTTTTTGTTTTGCTTTTTAAGTCTCTTCTGCTGTGTTTTTCAGTGTTTTATGAATAATGTTCACTCATTGGCCTGATCGGTGTCTTGTGTCCAAATTTGGTGTCAATTGATCGAGTGGTTTTTGAGTTATGTTAATCCCACAAACAAAACATTACATTTTTATTTATATAATGTCCATAAAATAAGTTTATTGTATTTGTTACTAATAATATTATTTCTCCCAGTGGCACAGTGGGTTAAACACTTGTGCCGGCAGGACTGCTGACCGAAAGGTCAATGGTTCATATCCGGGGAGCGGGATGAGCTTCCATCTGTCAGCTCCAGCTCTCCATGTGGGGACATGAAAGAAGCCTCCCACAGGATAGTAAAACATCCGGGTGTCCCTTGGGCAATGTCCTTGTTGATGGCCAATTCTCTCACACCAGAAGCCACTTGGAGTTTCTCAAGTCACTCCTGACACGAAAAAAAGTATTAATTGTATTGTATAATAATATATTACCAAAAAAAATTTGTCAAATGAAGTTTTCTAAAAGTTAATAATTCCAACATGTTCTCGATCCAGACTCTACTCTGAGTTTCATAGTTCATAGTGAACTTCCTAACTGTGAGAGCTGTTCAGCAGTGGAACTCTCTGCCGCAGAGTGTGGTGGAGGGTTTTAAGCAGAGGCTGGATGGCCATCTGTTGGGGGTACTTTGAATGCGATTTTGCTGTTTTGGCAGGGGGTTGGACTGGATTGCCCACAAGGTCTCTTCCAACTCAATGATTACAAATAAATTCAAGGCACAAATCAAATCCAGCCAGTGTGCTGAAGCCATAATTCGAAGAGTGCCCACATGTATTTAGTGGGAGATTTGCCTATTTTAGGAAAAAAGAAACCACAAGGCCCAAAATCATGCTCTTTGTCTACTTTGTCACTATAGGTTGCTTTCACTGGGCGGGAGTGCATGTTCAATAGTGAATTGATGGCATTTGAGAGCCTATTTACTCATATTATCAAAATACAGTTTGGGGGTATAGTTATTTTGGGGTGATTAGATATTCTATTATTGTACTTGTCAAAATATGAAAGGGCAGATGCGAATGAAGATTTGATGGAATATAATGAAGTTTTTTTTTTTTCATTTTAATTTTTGTAAGAGAACATTCATGTTATTACAGGGTTGCTGTGAATTTTCCAGGCTGTATGGGCATGTTCCAGAAGCATTCTCACCTGACGTTTCACCCACATCTATGGCAGGTATCCTCACAACCTCTGAGGATGCCTGCCATAGATGTGGGCGAAACATCAGGAGAGAATGCTTCTGGAACATGCCCATACAGCCTGGAAAACTCACAGCAACCCAGTGATTCCGGCCATGAAAGCCTTCAACAATCCATGTTATTATACTCACATACAGGAGCAATGTTGATAAGTTTGCCTGTAATTTTGGATTTATTGAAGGATCACATAATTTTTAAAAAATTTAAGGATTATTTCAGTTGTTTATTTTGGATGTGCAAATGCTAGGACTATATTCTAATAGTTTTTTCCCATTTTTGCTTGCTTTAGACCGAGGCTGTGTTTTCATCCCAGTGTTACTTGGCATCCTGACAGAGATGGTTGAGGCTTCCTTGGCCCCTAACGCTGACAGTGAATGTTTGGTGGTGGAAGTTCTTAACAATATTCAGAAAATGTTCCAGAAGATTTTAGAATGCATGGCACTCAGGCTCAGGAGACATCAGGAAGAAGGGATTCAGGTATTTGCTGCTTTTATCTGGCTGGAATGACTTGTTATCTCTGATGGTAGGAATGGAAGACTTAATATGATGCAATGGGAACGTTTTCTCAGCTAAGATTCCCAGTTGTATTGGCCAGGCAAGGCTTGGACAATGGACACTACTCCGAAAAGAAGAGCATTAGCTACTAATTTGGGAAATTAGTAGCTAATGAGGAAGGCAAGACTGTATGGCAGGCATGGGCAAACTTTGGGCCTCCAGATGTTTTGGACTTCAACTCCCACAATTCCTAACACCCTACCAGCTGTTAGGAATTGTGGGAGTTGAAGTCCAAATCACCTGGAGGGCCAAAGTTTGCCCATGCCTGCTGAATGGCATCGCCCAGCCTTTAGTCCTTAAAACCAGTATGGTTCTGCTTGTCTTATTAGTGTACAGTTTAATAATACTTTAAAAGTTGTTTTAAGTAAAGGTAAAGATCTTCCCCTGACATTAAGTCTAGTTGTGTCCGACTCTGGAGGATGTTGCTCATCTCCATTTCTAAGCCAAAGAGCCGGCGTTGGTCATAGACGCTTCCAAAGTCTTGTGGCCAGCATGACTGCATGGAGTGCTGTTAACTTCCTGCTAAAGCAGTACCTATTGATCTACTCACGTTTGCATATTTTCAAACTATTAGGTTGGTGGAAACTGGGGCTAACAGTGGGAGCTCACCTCGTCCCGCGGATTCGAACCACCAACCTTCCAGTCAGCAAGTTCAGCAGCTCAGTAGTTTAACCCGCTGCGCCACCAGGAGCATATGTTAGATAGAAGATACCTATTGATCTACTCACATTTGCATGTTTTTGAACTGTGGGGTTGGCAGAAGCTGGGGCCAACAGCGGGAGCTCACCCCGCTCCCACGGATTCGAACCGCCAACCTTTTAGTCAACAAGTTCAGCAGCTCAGTGGTTTAACCCACTGCGCCACCAGGGGGCTCCAGAACGTTGTTTTAGTTTGTCTCATTTCTTTATTTGCTGTGCATTAATTGAATAAATACTTGCATTTTTTAAAGAAACCAAATCTAATATATGTTATTTAGTAAAACATTTTCTCCCTTCTTTCAGTTAATTCACTCTGTTCAAGAGCCTCTTGGGAAGTTCATACATATGGTTCAGAATTGTAGTTGGACTTGCCCGACTGTTCATCACGGGGTCCTTTCTTCCTTGTTAGCTGCAGCAGTAGTTGAGACAGGCTACACCCTGCAGCACAAGGTACGTGGTTTTATTATACTGTCTTTAAAAGTATATTCTGTATGAATGGGAGTGTTGGGAATCAGCCTGTGTTTGTGTTCCAGGATCATGATGCTTATGATGAGAGTAATGATGGTGCTGAGGCTGAGGTGCAAGATGGAGATGATTTGGTCAATGATTTTCATACAGACAATGACAGAGAGGCCCCAGTGCAAAGGGCAGTTTCTCATGAGAATATTCCTACTGAGCCTAGGGATGATGGTTTACTCCCTCATTCTGTGAGCTCTCAAGTTTTGGGTTTGGAAAACAATCTGACACCTGGAAATTTTAATGAGCAGCCAGTTAGGGAGTTGAAGGATAGGCGGCTGGAGATCAGCCAGGATTGACAGCAAACTCAGTGTTTACGTTGCTCCAAAAGGCTTCGTCAGATAAGGGGCAAGTGTGGGGGAAAGCAAAACCAATTTCTGGGCTTTGGGATATAAGGGAAAACCTGTTAGATCAGGCATCATTTGGAAATCAAGTTCATGTGCCATGGAAATCCTGTTCATGGGGTCTTGCTCATGAGGAGAATTTAAGCCTTTTGGGTTGTCTTTGTTTCCTGTTGATTCCTGCCTGGATAGACGCTGCCTTGGAACTGCTTTTATATCTTGTGTGGACATTGCTTTGTGTTACTGCATTTTGCTGACTTATTACTTTTTGGAACCTTCTTATTTCCTTAGAAGCATTTATTTTTACTGGCTATTTACTAAGCTTCAATAAAAGAGGATTTGTTTCTTCACTCATCGTATGGTGTGTTTTAAAGTCAGAGGGCTTTTTCCTGACCTGGAGTGCAACAGGGAGGAGGTGGAGGCACCAAAGAAGCATGGCCTCGAAGTGGGAAGAAGGGCTTGGTTTTGGTATTGGCTTTTCATTCATTCCACTTACCTCATAGAAATAAAGCTATACAATGAGCCCGGTAACATTTCTTTACTGTTTATTGATTTCTTGTTTATTTGAATAATATATTTGCATGTCTTATGTTTTAGGCATCAAATCCCGAAGAGCTGACTCCACCAAAGTCTCTTTCGGACCTTCCCCCACTTTCAAGCACTTTAATGACAATCATGAATAAGTCAGTAAACATGGTCAAGTAAGTGTCCTTTCCCTCATTATGTCTAGCTGAGCAGTTTAGCAAAGTAAAACTCTTAGATTCCCCATTGTGTAGGACTGAATTAAGTCCTCTGTATCAGGCAGACTATCTCTTACATGTAATGGTCAGTGCTTGATGCAACTACAGGAAAAAGTGAGTTGGCTTGGTGAATATGAACCAGAATGAAATTTTAATTTCTTGTTGGGAAACATAGACAGTTAATATCCCTGTAGATCCATTTGAAGTTATGACTTTTTTTGCCAGTTTGTATACTATGCATGGCCCCCCTCATGGCGTAGTGGGTTAAACAGCTGAGCTGCTGAACTTGCTGACCGACGGGTTGGCAGTTCAAATCCGGGGAACAGGGTGAGCTCCTGCTGTTAGCCCCAGCTTCTACCAACCTAGCAGTTTGAAAACATGCAAATATGAGTAGATCAATAGGTACTGCTTCTGCGGAAAAGTAATGGCGCTCATTCAGTCATGCTGGCCACATGACCTTGGAGGTGTGTACGGACAACGCTGGCTCTTCAGCTTAGAAATGGAGATGAGACCACCTCTCAGAGTTGGACATGACTAGACTTAATGTCAGGGGAAACCTTTACATTTACCTTATTGGTAATGCTTCCAATCCATATGAGATAAATGTCATAAATAAATAAATGCAAAATATAGGATGCATAATGTGCAACTTGTAAATTCAAAGCACAGCAGACTGTCCCTTGTACAATGATGACCTTTGGCCCCAAATACATAGTATTACTTACACAAGCGTATATTTCTAAGTGAATTCCAGCTGTGGAGTCTTATTACACAAAAGCAGATGGTTGTGTATCTGAATTTAGATCATAGGAACAGGAACTGATGGCTACCAATGGATGTGTCTGAATTAAGTTAGCAGTTGGGGATTCTATATTAATTGGATTGCAATGGTAGAAAAAACTATTAATTGGCAGACTTTGGTTGCTCAACTATATTTTGAAAATGTTTTCTAGGTTTTAAATTATGTATTGTGCTGCTTTTACTGTTAGCCGCTTTGGGTCTCTCTTTCGAGAGATAAAGGGATAACAACAACAATGGCTCTGTAATCTCTAAAAGCTGATGGTTTGTTTCATTAAATTCATACTTGCATAGCAACTTCAGTATTTACAACAACAATCCAAAGACCCATGGCTCTGTAATCTCTAAAGACTGATGGTTTGTTTCATTAAATTCATATTTGCATAGCAACCTTAGTATTTACAACAGTAACATTTTATTGTGATCCAAAGACCCTTATTTCATGTTAGGTGTACAAGTATTTGCTAACTGTTCTGTCGATTCGTAGGTCTTTTTTGAAGGAGTTGATGGAATCTATTGAATCTGAAGAAATCGAAGGGATCATTAGCCTTACAGCAACTGTTTATATTGTTGCTTTAATTAAAGGTGAGTAAAAATAATTCTCTTTGAATTCAATGAAAGCTCTAGAAATTTAATTTTGTGTTTTGGACCTCCAAAAATTTATTTATTTATTTATTTACAGTATTTGTATCCCGCCCTTCTCACCCTGCAGGGGACTCAGGGCAGAATACAATGTACATATACATGGCAAACATTAAATGCCAGACACACAACATATATAGACAGACACACAGAGGCTATTTAACATTTCAACTTTTTTTTCATGAGGGTATTCTGGCCACCAGGGGAGCTGTCGCTTCACCGTCCATTTGTGACACTGATGAAGTACTTCCTTATTCTTTGCATGCTTGCTGGAGATTTTTATGGCGTTGTAAATTAGTCTCCCCACATAAGCGGTACCTAAATTTCCTACTTGACAGATGCAACTGTCTTTCGGGCTGCAAAGGTCGACAGCAAACTACACAAATTGGTCGGAAGCTCACTCCAACCCGGGCTGGCTTCGAAATCATGACCTTTTGGTCAGTAGTGACCTTAATGTAGCTGACTCCCAGCCAGCTGCACCACAGTCCTGGTGATGTAAATGGCTGTGAAGGTCCCCCATCAAAAAAATGGAGGAAGCCTACTAGTCCTAGAACTGGTTTAAAGAGGTTGGGAGTGTATGTAAACAAGGGATGTGGGTAGAGATGGAGTGAGACAAACTCGGTGAACTCCTCTCCTCAAAAAGGTTTTCTTGTGGGCAGAGCCATTTAACTTGTTATAAAAGATCTGCAGAGAGATAGGCAAATATGCAGATAATGCCAGATTTTCAAGATGGTGAAACCCAAGGGGACTGGGAAATACTGCAAAAAGATCTCGCCCAACTGAATAATAGATGTCAGAATGGCAAATGGAGTTCATTCGCAGTGCAGAGTGATGCACATTGAGAGGCAATCTTAACTTTGCTTAGACATTGATGGTGTTTACAATGCCTATGAGCCGTGATGGCTAACTGAATGAAAACACTAGTTTGACATGCAGCCACACTGGAAAAAGGGGATATTTGGGGATATTAGGAAAGGGATAGCAAATAGAAGTACCAATACTGAGTTCAGGCAGAACTATTTGCTGCTGGAACAAAGTAAATTTCTGAAGCAGCAAAGTGTTTGAGACACAGAAAGAGTAAATTCTTTATGATGATAGAAGGACATTTTCAAGGCGTACCTTGTGGCCAGACATTTTTCTTTGTCATTGACACGATCCCACAAGTGCTTTTGTTTTGTAATTTTTGTAAGAGTTCAAGGGATAGATTGTAGCCCCGTTTTATGGAATAATTTTCTGTAATCATTCTGTAAAATACAATCTGGAAAGTAAGTTTGAACAGTCCTCTATTTATTTAAATATTTTAATTTATATCCTACTCTTCTCTCAAAGTAAGATCCATCGTGGCTTAATGCATAAGGTTGGCAATCTTTTAGATCAGGCATGGGCAAACTTGGGCCCTCCAGATGTTTGGACTTCAACTCCCACAATTCCTAATAGCCTCAGACCCTTTCCCCCCTCAGCTGCTTAAGCAAAAGGGAAAGCTGTTAGGAATTGTGGGAGTTGAAACCAAAACACCTGGAGGGACAAAGTTTGCCCATGCCTGTTTTAGATCTTGTAATTAATATAGGTTTATTTATTTATTATTTACTTACTTCATTTATATACCGCTTTTCTCACCCCAGCCCCCCCCCCTCTGGTGGTGCAGCGGATTAAACCGCTGAATTGCTGAACTTGCTGACCAGAAGGTTGGCGGTTTGACTCCAAGGAGCTGGGTAAGCTCCTGCTGTTAGGCCCAGCTTCTGCCAACCTAGCAGTTTGAAAACATGCAAGTGTGAGTAGATCAATAGCTACCCCTTCTGCGGGAAGGTAGCAGCGCTCCATGCAATCATGCTGGCCACATGACCTTGGAGGTGTCTATGGACACTGCCAGCTCTTCGACTTAGAAATGGAGATGAGCACCAGCCCATAGAGTCGGACACAACTAGACTTAAGGTCGGGTGAAACCTTTACCTTTACTTTCTTCTCTTTACTTTTCTCACCCCGGGGGTAATCAAAGCACTTTCCAACATATTCACGGCAAAATTCAATGCCTAACATACATATGAAAACCTTAAAATGAAACAACAATAACATGTTTGGTTTGTTCCTTTTTGTTTAGCTGTGATGGGTAGGTAAATAAGCAGTTTGGCCTTTTTGAAAAGTCTTCACATATTGATGCGTGATGACTTTTTGGGGGGTGCTTCGTGGGAATATATGAACCTGTTTCTATTTCTCAACAAGGTTCATCAATCCTCAACATCATATTTTTCCCACCAGGTAAGAAAAAGCCTTCATATGTAAAAGATGTCGCATCTGCCCTTCAAAGAAAGCTAGTGACATACAGTGAGATTACAAAGAAAGACGTTGGTAATGTGCAAAGGTAAGCTTTTGTGAGAAAGGTTCATTCCTTTTAAATTATTCTGTCCTTGATTTCTATAACATCACAAACTGCGTGCTGGTCTTATGTGTTATAAAAGAGTAAAGTATGCAGGTTCACATGTAGTTAAGGAATTTTTTAACAGTTCTTTTCACCTTGTGCTATAACAGTGTTTCTCAACCTTCCTAATGCCACAACCGCTTAGTACAGCTCTTCATGTTGTGATGAACCCCAGCCAGAAAATTATTTTCATTGCTTCTTCATAATTGTAATTTTGCTGCTGTTATGAATTGTAATGTAAATATCTGATATGCAAGATGTATTTTCATTCACTGGACCTAATTTGGCACAAATACCCAATACGCTCAAATTTGAATACTGGTGGGCTTGGGGGATTGGTTTTGTCATTTGGGAGTTGTAGTTGCTCGGATTTCTAGTTAACCTACAATCAAAGAGCATTCGGAACTCCACCAACAGTGGAATTGAACCAAATTTGGCACACAGAATTCCCATGACCAACAGAAAATACTGGAAAGGTTTGGTAAACATTGACCTGCAGTTTTGAAGTTATAGTTCACCTACATCCAGAGAGCATTGTGGATTCAAATAATGATGGATCTCGGCCAAACTTGGCACAAACACTCAAATGCCCAAATGTGGAATTTGGGGAAAATAGACCTTGACATTTGGGAGTTGTCGTTGCTGGGATTTATAGTTCACCTACAATCAAGGGGCATTCTGAACCCCACCAACAATAGAATTGGGTCAAACTTCCCATACAGAACCCCCTATAACCAACAGAAAATACTGTGTTTTCTTATGGTCTTTGGTGACCCCTCTGACACTCCCCTTGTGCCCCCCCCCCCGGGGTCCTGACCCCCAGGTTGAGAAACGCTGTGTGTCCAACATTTTTGAGGTTGTATTTCTAAAATCTTGAAAACATATATGCACATAAATTATGCAGATTACTGATTGGATCACATCTAACATCTGGCAATGCACAGAGAACGCTCTTTGCTTGAAGGTGTTAGTTTTTCTAGTCTTCTGTATAAGATTTCTTTGCACAGCTTATATTTGCAAAGGAAGATCACTATGTTGTGGCCTTGATTTAAACCATAGCAATTCTGGCTAATAGTAATGTGCAATTTTAATTTGACATCCAGACTTTTGCATAACAGCATCAGCAGGTGATTGGGTTGATGGAAAACAATATTTCCTTATGTGTTAGTCATTTGTATCACTTATTACAACTCCTCACTGCTTTGTTTCAGGACCCTGTATGAAACTGCTGTGCACACTTTAAATGAAAATTTCAGTCCTTGACTGTATAATGATTTGTAAATCAAAGAAACAAGAAAAAAGAGGCCTTCAACCCTTCCCAAGAAGCAAACTTCTCATCTGTACAGTATCTTAACCTTTTGGAACCTCAAAACTTCTATTTTGATTGGTGCTTCCTTTGGCAGTCAGCACAGATAATATTGAAAGCTAAATGGCATACTTGTTATATAAAAACTACAGAGAAACTTTCTCAAAATGCTAAAATATTTTTGTATCTTTTATTAAAGATGGCTAATATACTTCATCTATAAAAAGAGTTTTCTGTTTTTCCTTTTGAGTGACTTAAATCCCTTGTGTTAAATATGTCAACACCAGTACAGATGTAGGAGGTGCAAAATGACTAATGTAAAAGGTAAAGGTTTTCCCTTGACATTAAGTCCAGGCGTGTACAACTCTGGGGGTTGGTGCTCATCTCCATTTCTAAACCAAAGAGCTGGCATTGTCCGTAGACACCTCCAAGATCATGTGGCTGGCATGACTGGCTGGAGGGCTGTAACCTATTGATCTACTCACATTTGCATGTTCTCGAGCTCCTAGGGTGGAGGAAACCAAATATTATAAATAATAATATGATTCATTGGAACCTGTGCCACAGATACCATCTGCCTGCAACAAAGAACTGGTGGGATCACAAGCCGGAAAAAGTTACAGAGAATGAACATGTCAAGCTACTCTGGGACTTCCGAATCCAGACAGACAGAGTTTTGGAGCACAATACTCCTGACCTCACTATCGTGTTAAAAAACAAAGTGTGGATCGTCAATGTTGCAATCCCAGGTGACAGCAGGATTGAAGAGAAACAACTGGAAAAGCTGACACAATATGAGGATTGAAAGCTCGAACTGCAATGAATCTGGCATAAGCCAGTCAAGGTGGTCCCAGTGGTGATTTGCACACTGGATGCAGTGCCTAAAGACCTTGGCCTGCACTTAAACATATTCGGCGCTGACAAAATTACCATCTGCGAGCTGCAAAAGGCCACCTTACTGGGATCTGCACGCATTATTCGCCGATACATCACACAGTCCTAGACACTTGGGAAGTGTCTGACGTGTGATCGAATACAACAGTCAGCAGAGTGTCTGCTGTGGACTCATCTTGTTGTGTTTCAAATAATAGTAATAATAATAACTACTTTATTATTATTTACCACTCTATCTCCCTGAGAGGGCTCAGGGCAGTTTCCAACATAGGGCAAAATATTCAATTGCCAAATGATACAAAAACCATACAAAAATGACCATTATAAAACATAACCATCACAACAATTTAAAAGCGAGTTTCAGTTTTACTCCGTGAGACGGGATTCAAGATACCAATGGCCAGAATTATGAAGTGGACCTAGTCAGCTAGGAAGGGGCTGGGCAAGGGCTAGTGCAAGGAAATAACATGGGGCTGGGGAAGTGGATAAAGTGCAGAGAGGGGTCCTAGCGGATGGCCAGGGAAGGGCCTGGGGCTAATCATTTCCAAAGGCCTGCTGAAACCAAGTTTTCAGGTCCCTGTGGAAGGATAGTGATGGGGCTTGTCTTATCTTTCTGGGGAGGGCATTCCAAAATCAGGGAGCCACCACCAAAAAGGCCCTCTCATTTCCACCAACCGTGCTTGTGACGGTGGTGGGAGTGAGAGTAGGGCCTCCCGGCAGATCTAAGAGTCAGTGCCAGTTCATAGGGGGAGATGTGATTGCAGACATAGGTGGGGCACAAACCATTTAGAGCTTTGTAGGTCATAACCTACACCTTCAATTGGGCCCAGTAACTTATCGGCATACTAATAAAATAAGAAACACTGCAACTGTTTTTTAAAGTATATTTTGAATATCAGTACTGCTTCCAAAGTTGATGGGGATGATTGTAGATACCATCATCATCATTATCATCATCATCATTATTTGATACACAAGATTAGTACACAGTAAACAAGATCACTATGCTGGCTTTTGTATTTGATCACACCTCAGACATTTCCCTGGTGTCTAGGACTGTGTGATGTATCGATGAATAATGTGTGCTGATCCAAGAAGGATGAGCTTTTGCAGCTGACAAAGTAATTTTGTCAGCGCCGATTGTTTTTAAGTGCAGGCCAAGGTCTTTAGGCACTGAACCCAGTGTGCCGGTCACCACTGGGACTATCTTGACTGGCTTGTGTCAGAGTCTTTGCAGTTCTATCTTTAAATTCTCATGTAAGCTTTTCCAGTTTCTTCCCATCAATTCTGCTGTAAAGTCCTGTCTTGTGGAACAACAGCAACTCTCTTTCTTCAGCATCTGGTTCTACTAGGTGCACAGCAATAACATCATCCACCTGCAATGTTGTGTATCCAGGTATAGAAGAGCTCATCTTGACCTCTGTCTCCTGACGTCTACTGGCCAGTACATTAGGCTCACACCTAAAAGGTAGGGAAGAAAATGTGTTACGTACTTCCATTTGACAGTTAACATTTGTACATGAATAATGTAAGTTGGCACTACTATATCACATAGAACTGCAGAAAAACAGATGCAGTTTAGTGCTTCTCTTTTGAAAGGAATATATTGGCTGCAATCCTTAGCACGCTTACGTGGAGGTTAATGATACAAATTGAAGTGATTTACATTTGAACATATGTTAGAAGATAGCTATTTTTCACATGCAATTTTTCTGGAAAATATTTCAGAAGTTTTGTTGACAAATGTAATTTTCTCGCATTTATCACTTTCAGGCTTTTGCCGATTTAGGAAAAAAATAGAAATCTGCTACCTATGGAACTACATACTAATTAAAAGAAAGTAACCTGAAATAATAATAATTATAATAATAATAATGCTTTATTTATATTTTGTCCTATTTCCCTGAGGGGACTCGGGGTGGATTCCAGCATACAGAAACACAAAGACAAACATTCAATGCCTAGAAACAACATAACACAGATAAAGGTATAGGCTTCCCCTTCAAGCTCTGGGTGGTGGTGCTCATCTCCATTTCTAAGATGAAGAGCCTGCTTTGTTCATAGACACCTCCTAGGTCATATGGCTGACATGATTGCATGAAGCCCTGTTAGCTTCCCACTGAAGGTATTGATCTACTCACATTTGCATGTTTTTGAACTGCTAGGTTGGCAGAAGCTGGGGCTAACAGCAGGAGCTCACCCGTCCCACAGCTTCAAACCGCCAACCTTCCAGTCAGCAAATTCAGCAGCTCATCAGTTTAACCCTCTGCGCCATGAGGAGGCTTTGAGCATATATTAGATAGAAGATAGCTATTTTTCATATCCATTTTTTGTGAAAAATATTTCAGAAGCTTTGTTGACAAATGCAATTTTTTTCACATTTATCTCTTTCAGGCTTTTGCTGATTTAGAAAAAAAAAATAGAAATCTGTTACTGATGGAACTACATACTAATTAAAAGAAAGTAACCTAAAATCCTTTGTATGCAACATGGCTTTCCTTTCCTTTTCTTTTTTGGTCTTTTTTTCTCTTGAGAAAGTAATGGGAGCCATTCTTTAAAATGAGGCTATTGTTCATACTGTCAGAACAAGTATTATCTACAGATTTGTAGGGCTAATCACTGTTCTGTGTTCTGAACAGAACTCAATGGAAAATTCCTTTAATACTCTGGTTGATCATGGTCATGATAGCTTTGTTGCACACAAACACCAAATGTCTGAGGTTTTTTTTTTAAAAAAAACAAAAAACTCCATACCTGAATTTATATTGTGTACAGGGAGAAAATTGGCTTGTTTAGCAAGCCTTGTAAATAATTATCAGTAAATGGTAAGGATTACCTGGGAAGAAATCCTACTGGAGCATTGGAGCACACCAAAATACCCGGGAGTCACTCTGGACCGTGCTCTGACTTATAAGAAGCATTGCTTGAATATCAAGCAAAAAGTGGATGCTAGAAATAATATACAAAAGCTGACTGGCACAACTTGGGGATCACAACCAGTCACAGTGAAGACATTTGCTGTTGTGCTGTGCTACTCTGCTGCGGAATACGCATGCTCAGTTTGGAATACTTCTCACCACGTTAAAACAGTGGATGTGGCTCTTACTGAGACATGCTGCATTATCACAGGATGTGTATGCCCAAGACCGCTGGGGAAAAAACGCTGTTTAGCCGGTATCACACCACCTAACATCCGTTGGGAAGTAGCAGCCTGTAATGAAAGAACCAAGACATTGACATCTCCAGCCCATTCTCTGTTCGGATATCAGCCAGCAAGCCAAAGCCTTAAATCAAGAAATAGCTTTCTAAGATCGACAGAGATACTTGCAGGAACACCTCAGCAAACAAGAGTCCAAAAGTGGTAGGCTAAAACCTGGAACCTCCATCAGTGGCTGAGACCAGATGAGAAACTCCCTCCTGGGCACACAGAAGACAGGGCGAACAGACTGTGCTCTGGCACCACAAGATGCAGAGCCAATCTTAAGAAATGGGGCTACAAAATGGAGTCCACGACATGCGAGTGTGGAGAAAAGCAATCCACAGACCACTGACTACAATGCAGTCTGAGCCCAGCCACGTGCACAATGGAGGACCTCACAGTGACACCAGAGGCACTCCAAGTGGCTAGATTCTGGTCAAAGGACATTTAACATCATGCCAAGTTTTTAGCTTTGTGGTTTTCTATACATTACTAGCCGTCCCCCGCCACGCGTTGCTGTGGCCCACATGGGCTTCTGTGTGGGAGGTTTGGCCCAATTCTATCGGTGGGGTTCAGAATGCTCTGTGATTGTAGGTGAACTATAAATCCCAGCAACTACAACTCCCAAATGTCAAGATTCTATTTTTTCCAAACTCCACCAGGGTTCACATTTGGGCATATTGAGCATTCATGTAGAGTTTGGTCCAGATCCATCATTGTTTGAGTCCACAGTGATCTCTGGATGTAGGTGAACTACAACTCCAAAACCAAAGGACACTGCCCACCAAACCCATCAGTATTTTCTGTTGGTCATGGGAGAACTGTGTGCCAAGTTTGGTTCAATTCCATCACTGGTGGTGTTCAGAATGCTCTTTGATTGTAGATGAACTGTAAATCCTAGCAACTACAACTCCCAAATTACAAAATCAATTTTTTGAGTGAAGGACATACATTGGGTTGTTAGGTGCCTTGTGTCCAAATTTGGTGTCAATTCGCCCACTGGTTTTTGAGTTCTGTTAATCCCACAAACGAACATTACATTTTTATTTATATAGATAACACTATTCTCTATTTGCTTCTGACACTATAAATAAATAAATTTTGTAAATGGTTGATTTTTGTACCTATTTTAT